GGGTGGTGAGACGTGGAGATTGAGACCTAGGGGTGGTGAGATCTGGGGGCGAGACCTGGAGATTGAGACCTAGGGGTGGTGAGATGGGGGGTGGGGGTGAGACCTGGTGGGGTGAGACCTGGGGGTGGTGAGACCTAGGGTTGAGACCTGGGTGGGGGGAGACCAAAGAAAGGAATCTCTTCCTCCCTTTTCCCTTCCTTCCTTCCCTTTTTCCTCCTTTCCAGCCAACTCCCTCCTCCTTCCCTCCCAACTTTCTGGTATCCACCCCTTCCTTCTTTTTTTCCTTCCCTCCCACCCTCTTCCTCCCTCTGTTCCTCCATCTTTCTCCTTCTACACAGGGACTCCCTACCCAACCCTGGCTCTCCTGGCACTTGCTGTGTACACCAGGCTGGCTTTGAACCAGAACCATCCCCTCACTCTGCCTCCAGAGTGCTGAGATAAGGGATTGGGGGGCTGTTGCTCTCTTTCCATCTGGAGGTGGATGTGGCAACTGAGGCTCTCACCCAGGGGTTGGAGCTGGTTAATTCTGAGGCTTTTCTCAGCCAGTGGAAAGCACTCACATCAAATATCTGGGGCATCTGGGAGAAGTAGAAGTGAGCCTGGTCACGGTTGAAACGCTGCAGCTGGGCAGCATATTCATTCTTGCTTTCTTCTGCCATGTGGCTGCGAAGGTGGGCTTGCTGCTTGGCCTGGGCAGTGGGATATCCCGGTGAAGTTTCCAGCGACATCTGGCCCTCCATCTCGCCCCGCATCCCGCCCTGCAAACTGCCTTCCACCTACTCTGCATCCCACCCTGCATCTGCCCTGCATCTGCTCCTTCATCTAGTCCTGCATCCAGCCCTACACCCCATCCTGCATTCCACTCTGCATACCCCACAAGCCTGTTGCAGGCCCCCATCTCCACCACACCTCGCATTACCTTTTCTACATCCGCCTTGGTTGCATTTATGTCCTGATCTAGTCGCTGCGCAGTCTGGGCTGCTTTTTCGGCTTCCCTGCAGTCCCGCTCGAATTTCCGCTTACTCTACCCAAGAGACAGAACCTGAGTAAAGAAACTGCCTCCTCCCAAACAGGAGAGGGGGGCCGGTAGAGCACGGGTAAAACCTGGCATGGTGGCACAGCTCAGTCATCCCAGCAATCAGAAGGCTCAGGAGTTCAGGGCCAACCTGGACCCTGCCAGGACCCTGAGACCCTGCCCCCCAAAACAAAACAGGAGGCTGGAGAGCCGGCTCAGCTAAGAGCACTGGATGCTGTTGCAGAGCAACAGGGTTCAGTTCCAAACACCCACATGGAGGCTAACAACTGTAACTCCAGGTCCAGGGGATCCAACACCCTCTTCTGGCCTTCATGGGTATTGTTAACATGTATGTGGTGTACTTACATACATGCAGGCAAAATACTCATACTCATGAAATAAAAATAAATTAATTTAAAAAAAATGAAACATGGCCAGCCAGGTGACTCAGCAACTAAAAGCACTTGCTACACAAGCCTGGATATCTGAGTCTGTCCCAGAACCCACATGAGGGTGGAAGGGACCAACTCCACAACTTGTCCTCTGCCTCACACATACATGACACAGGCACACATAGACACACACACACACACACACACACACATATAAAGAGCTGGTTCAGCAGTTAAAAGCACTGGCTGCAAAGGACCCAGGTTCAATTCCCAGCACCATATGGCAGCTAACAATCATCTGGAACTCCAGTTCCAGGGGATCAATCTGACGCCCTCTTCTGACCTCCGCAGGCATGATACAACATGGGTACACTTACATACAGGCAGGCAATATACTCATACACATAAAAATAAAATAAATAAAATATTTCTTTTTTAAAATTGGGCTGGGCGTGGTGGCATACACCTCTTATCCCAGCATTTGGGAGGCAGAGGAAGGTGGATCTCTGTGAAACAGAGGCCAGCCTGGGCTACATAGTGAGTTCCAGGCCAGCTTGAGCTACAGGGAGACCTATGTCAAAAAAAAGACAAGACACAAGTGGAGAACGACTGAGGAAGACACCAGTGTCAACCACAAGCCTCCACATGCATGCACACACACACATGCATGTACACACCTACATGAACCTGTGCATACACCACATATAGAAAGTTTCACACAGAAAGTTTTAGGCCACATAGAGAATTCTAGGCCAGCCTGGGCTACAAGAGACTCTGTCTCAAAACAAAATGTGCAGGGACAAAAGTTGTGCTTGGCACCGCCGAGGGGGAGGGAGGCCTGGGCACAGCACGCAGGGGGCTCTGGACCAGTGGCAGCACCCGGCTCCCTGTCTTGGACTCACATTCTCCAGCTGCTTGAATACATTTTCTAGCTGCTGCTGGGCCCGGCGACCTTCCTGGAAATGCTGTGGAAAAAAGTGTGGAGACCCTCAGCCAGGCTCCTGTAGGACCCTCTCAGCAAGCCCCAGCAGGGGGAAGCCCTCACCGTCTTCCTCTCCTGCTTCATGTCTTGAGAGTACTTGGCCAGCTCCAGACACACTTGGACACCCAGGTTCTCAGCCACCAGCTCTCGCTGGCCTGCAAAATCATTAACCTCCTGGAGAAGCTGGACAAAAGACTGCTGCTGGCTGAACCTGGGGGAGGGGACACAAGGGGTCAGGATAGTAGAGTGTGACATGTGCCTGACACGGCTCTGCACTCCTGTCATCCCAGCACCCAGGAGGTGGTGGCAGGAGGATCAGGGGTTCAAAGTCATCCTTGCCTACATATCAAGTTCCAGGTCAGCCTGGGCTATCAAGGTCTTGACAAGTGTGATGGTGCACGCCTTTAATCCCAGCACTCAGGAGACAGAAGCAGGTGGATCTCTGTGAGATTGAGGCCAGCCTAATCGACATAGGGAGTTCCAGGCCAGCTGGGGCTACAGGAAGACCCTGTCTCAAAAAGCAAAAAACAAAACAAAAACAAACATATATATTCAATCCTCACAAAGCCATGTTCACACTATGTGGAATAAAAATCTATTATTTACAACAACCTCATTGGGCTAGAAGTTGAAATCTAATGAGTTATTTATTCATTTATTTCAGATAGAGTCTTGCTATGTACCCCAGGCTGGCCTGGAACTCACAATCCTCCTGCCTCAACTTCCCAAGGGCTAAGATGGCAGGCATACACCACCATACCCAGCTCATCTTTTAGATTTTATTTATTTACTTATTTATTTTTCAGACAGGATCTCCCTATACCCCAGCTAGCCTGGAACTCACCATGTAGACCAGGCTGGCTTCAATCTCACAGAGATCCACCTGCCTCTGCCTCCTGAGTGCTGGGACTAAAGGCATGTGCCTCCATGCCCATTCACCCTTTAGATTTTAAAAAGAAGGGTACAGGGGTTAGAGAAATGACTCAGCAGTTAAGAGTACTGGCTGCAAAGGACCCGGCTTCGAATTCCAGGACACACATAGTGGCTAACAACCATTTGTAACTCCAGTTCCACACACTCACATGGTACACTTACATTCATGCAGGCAAAACACCCAAACACATAAAAATAAACCACCAAAAAAATTTTAAAGGTGCAAAATACAGTTAAAAGCTCTGACAATTACTATGTCTTGACCATTGGCTTATTCATTCAGAATTGTGAGTCAGGGTCTCATGTAGCCCAGGCTGGCTTCAAACTCCCTATATAGTTGAGGCTGGTTTTGAACTTCCCATCTTCCTTCCTCTACCTCCCAGAGTATGACAGATGTGCACCAATATATTCTGCTTTGGTCACTGTTTTTTAACAGATGAACTCTGTTCCTTTTCACCCAAACCCTACAGTGTAGGAAAAACTGTCAATAGACCCAATCGCAGACAAGGAAAAACAGAGACAGAGTCACTGTCCCAAGCCTGGCTTAGGGGTATGTGCCTGTCATTCCAGCACTCAGGAAGCTGGGACAGAAGGAGTTAGAGATCTGACTAGATTTCTGTAGAGATCTACACGGGGAATAACAAACCAACCAGATACACAGCAAGACCCTGGCTAAAGAGTAAAACTATAAGCCTGTAAGATGGCTCAGCAGATAAGGGGGATTGCTACCAAGCCTGAGGACTGGAGTTCAATCCTCAGAATCTACAAGGAGAGAAGAAAGAAGAGAGAAACAACTACCCAAGTTGTTCTCTGGCAGCAACAGGTGCACCATGGCATACATGCTGCACCCCACACACAAAATAAATAATAAATAAATAATAAATATTAAGAAAAAAGTCACTCAACTACAACGCAAAAGGAAAACAGAAATCGGAGAATTTACACGCCAAAACAGCTACAGAACAGGATTCCAAAGTAGGTGGGAAAGGAGGTGGGAAGTGAGGTGGCCGGGGGGCATGGCCGCAGGGAAAGAGAGGCCCACCCACCCCTCCCCACGCTGAGTCTAGGGCTGTGCTATCTTCTTGGATTCTTACTTGGCTTCAGGGTCATCTTTGGCAGGCCTCTTGGGAAGGTATTTTTTGACCAGGTTCCTAAGGGGAGATAGAGGCAGGGAGGCTGAGCACCTGGCCCTCCCACGTCGCTACCTCAACCCCGGGGCCCAGGGAGGGAGTCCCAGTCTGGCAAGCATCTACCCTTGGGGGGTCTCACCGCAGTTGCTTGGCGTAAGCATGCTCCACCTCCGTGCGTTCTTTAACAAACTTCACGTATCTGTCCAACAGGTCCAACCCCCACTGCGTGTGGCGCTCCAGTACTTCAAACTGATCCTAACGAGGGGGGCGCGATTGGGGAGGGTCAGGGTTACAGTCTTGGGGGGTGGGGGACACCGCAAGCTCCACCGATCCGATGCACCAGGGGACGCACCAGGGGGAGCCTCGTGGCTTGGTGATGGATCTAACACTGGCTGCCTTCCCCAGGCGCCGCCCCGGCGCAGGGGGAAGGCAGGAAGCTGGCGGGAACCCCCTCTCCTCTTCCCGGGAAGGGCCTGGACCACTGAGCTAGGGCGCCAAACCGGACCACAGGGTCTCTCGGGTGTCGGGATAGCTAACAAGGGGGTGTGGAAGGAGGCTAAGCCTTTCCTTCTGTTCCCGAGGATCCCCTAATCCCCCCCAGATTCCGGAAAATCAGGCCGGGCTTGGCATGAGTCAGAGAGGGGAAGAGTTTGTGTGGAAGGGGGGGACTCAAAATGGCCAGATTGCCCGATTCGCCACGAATCCCCAGGATCCTCCACTGAGTGACTCAGTTTCCCCTCCCTCTGCCTCCAGTGCATATCCAGTAAGAAACCCCCAAGTTGGAGGAGGGGGTAATCATATACCGCACCCGAAGATTCTACCACCTCTAGGGAGAGGAGAGGTCAGAGGTCCGGCTGGGATAGAGGGAAACTTCCAGGGCTTCCTGGGTGAGGTAAAGAGGCGGGCAAGGGGTTGCCCCGCCCTGCGCCTGGGGCCGAGTCCTGCAGCCCCCCCTCCCCTCCCTCTCAGCGCCCCAAGCCCTTTGGGGGCGACTGCAAGCCGATCGGGCCTGGTTAAGAACCCACGTGGGAAACAAGGTGACCAGAGGGTCCCCTCCCCCTCCCAGCCGGACAGGCGGGCGACGGGCAGGGACCCAGGGTGCCGTAAGATTAGCCTGCAAGCCAGGCCAGGGCGCTCAAAATAGGTGACCTCACCCAGCTGTCCCCCCCCCCCAAGTCCCTGGCCTGGTCCAGGGATTTCTTGTGACTGCCTTACTTGCAACTCTGTGCCTCAGTTTCCCTAAGCCTGTCCTTTGCAAAGTTTCTCTCGGGCCCTCTGGGCGTCTTCAAACTTCCAAGGAAACTTTCAAGAGGGCGCGGAGGGCAGAGGGCGGGGACCACCGGGGTCAGTGGCAAGGGAAAGCGCGGAATCCCTGTTAAAGTACAACGCGGACAAAGAAGAGAAGCCCGGACCCCAATAAGGAAGAACCTGGGAGCTGGGGCGAAAGGACTCACCCATAACTCGGTACCCCAATCCATGCTGGTCCCGCCGCGGAAGACGCCACCACGGTCCTTCACCAGGAGATTCAGCCCAGGGCGGTGCGCCGAACCCAGCCCCGCCCCGCCCGCCTTGGCCATGCCCACTCGCACTTAGGTCACGCCCCCTTTGCGCTCTGCCACGCCTCCCCGTCTCCCTGTAGCCCCCTGGCCAAGCGGTGTCCTAAGGCCGCGTCCCTCCCCAGGAGGCGGGGCCCAAAGAATATCCTCCCCTTCTTAAAGGAACGTGGCTACAGGCCGGACCCCCTAAAAGGAGTCCCCCAACTTATTTTCCAAAACTATGCCCCCATATTTAGTAGCCTCCCCCGCCGCAAACTATCCGTCCTTTCTCTTCATTTTTGCATCCCTTAAAAAGGGTCAAATAAAAAAAAAAAATCCAAGAAGTCTTCCCCCCCACTCCATGGCAGGGAGAACCTGCGGTCGGTCTCCCAGTTCCTGCGGGACCGACAGGGCTCCAGAAATCTCCCGTTTCGTTCCACTAATTGGTCTGGTTTCGTCCGGCCACAGGACAGATAGGACGAATTCGATCCAGCCCAGGACGCGCTTCCAGCCAAGGCCGGGTCCATTAACGCGCCCCCACCGCATCCTGCCTTCCTTCCCTTCCCCACAGAGTCTCCTCTGGGAAACTGAGGACAAGCCGTCCTTGAGGCGCCAGTCTCAGGCCTTGCCCCCCGCCACACACACACTTCGCGTTTGCACCTGCCTGCCCATTTTACACCCTGTCCACTGAGGCCCAATCAGTAACTGGCCCCGGGGATCCCAGGTTGGCCCCACCCATAGACACTGGAGCCCTGAGGCTTAGAAGTCCAATTCCCTCCCACTCATAAAACTCCCTTTACACCTTGTAAATCCCCTTGGAACCCGGGTTGAAAGGGGAGAGGCCCCTATGACTCCCACCGCCCCAACTCGCCCAGCCTTTGGTGAAGGTGGACGGGGAGCCTGAGTTTAGCCCACGCTGGGACTGAGGCTCTGTTGAGGCTTGGCCCCACCTGCTGGCGACTTGTGAGTTAGGCTCCAGGTTGCAGAGTGAGGCTCCAGAGGTTTCTGGGTTCCACTGTGGTCAGAGGCTCAAACGAGACTTGGGTTCAACCCAGGACAGCACCCTATCGTCGCGGGGTCTCAGACTCAGGTGAGAGGCTTAGCACAAGAGGTCAGCAGTCTAAAATTCAGGGGCTGAAGGGGGTTGGAGAGAGGGCTCAGTAGTTGAAAGCACTGGCTGCTCTTGCAGAGGACCCAGGTTAGGCTCCTAGCACCCACATAAAGCCTAACAACCGTCTGTAACTCCAGTTCCAGGGGATCTGACGCCCTCTTCTGACCTCCATGGGCATTGCACAACACAGGTGCCCTTATATACATGCAGGCAAAACATTCATACATGTAGATTTCTTTTTCTTTTTCTTTTTTGAGGCAGGGTCTCCTTGTAGCTCTAGCTGCCCTGGAACTCGCTATGCAAATCAGGCTGGCCTCTGGCTCCCAAGTGCTGAGACTAAAGACTTATGCCACCATGCTTGGCCCTTTAAAAATATTTTTTCCTGGGGTTGGAGAGATGGTTCGGCAGTTAAGAACACTGATTGTTCTTGCAGAAGACCAGGGTTCAAATCCCAGCACCCATATGGCAGCTAATAACTGTCCCGTAACTCCAGTTCCAGAGGATCCGATGGCCTCTTCTGTCCTTGCGGGCACTGGACGACACGGGTGCACTTACATGCATGCAGGCAATACACTCATACACACAAAAATAATTTTTAAAAAATTTTAATATTTTTTTCCTTAAATCAGGTGGCTTGAAAACCGGGGTTCAGAAGATGTACCGCTATGATGGTGAAAAAAAGAAACGAGCCAGTGTTAAAATGAGGTGGAAGCTTGTAGGGTCAGAAGGAGGAGAGGGGTCAGGAGTTTCAGGTTGAAGTTGGAGCTTGGCTGCAGCAAGAGGGAGTTAAGCCTGGGGTGGGGTCTGCAGGTGGACTTTTCAATAGTTTTATTTGGGGGCTTAGCCCAAGATTGAGCAGTCAGCCTGGGGTCAGAGGTCACCCTGGGGTCAAGAATTTTAGGCCTCTCCGTGGACTAGCAAGGTTAGAACAGGGCAGGCCTCTGTTCTAAATTTGTGTTTACCAAAAGCCTGATTTCTGGCCACTAGCCACGTCCCAGGGGAAGAACAGGAAGTGAGTACTTGGAGATCCTGGGAAATGTAGTTTATGCATGCCTTGTGGCAGGCGGTTGCTCCCTCTGAATTCTGGGTAATGTAGTCTTGGACCGTTGAGAGTCAGGTGTAGGAATTCCGCTTTAAGGGCCGGGTATTGGTTCTATTTTTATTGGACAAATGCCCTGTTCATCAAACTACATCCGGGATGATCTTTCTGCGGATTGGACAATGTGAAGGAGGAGCTAAAAGGGACACGCACGTCTTTTGGGAAATCAAGCTGTCTATGAACTGCAGGATGAGTGTTTATTGGCTGGATCTGGCCACGCCGTGCAGCGATTGGCTGAGAAGTGGGCGGGGTTTTGCGGGCGTCAAAGGCGGTGTCGGGGGGAAGGCGGTGGCTCCAGAGATGGCAGTGAGCGAGAGGAGGGGGCTCAGCAGCGGGAGCCCCGCGCAATGGGGATGGGAATGCTTGCTGATGCTGATCCTGATGCTGAGTGACTCTTCGGGTCGCATCCACCGGCTGGCGCTCACGGTGAGCCTCGCGTAGGAGCCCCTACCTCGGATTTGGTCTCGCTCATCCTCCCCTTAGGCGGGTGGAGCGATCGGACGCTCCCCGCGTCTCTGCCGGAAGTGGTCTCGTCCCGGAATCCCCCCGACTCGCGGCTTGCGATGGGCTAGCCTGGCCCGTGGCTCTCTCCACTAGGTGCTTGGCTTTGGGGGCGGGTCTCCATCTCCCTGGGAGTTTTGACTCTTGGCTCTTTAAATTCATGGGGACCCTTGGCAACAATCAAGAGGCCCCCCTTGGGGAGGGTCCCTAGTAGGATTTTTCTGAGACCGGCGGGAGGGGGGAACTCATTTGAAAACTCAGCCCAGTGGGAATCTAAAAGTTTTCCTGGAAGCCAAAGCTAGGTACAGCAAGATGTGTTAACCCACTCTTCGGGTACTGCTGGTAACATAGGGGACCTTCCAGTGGCTCCCAGACTTTCGCCTCCTGGACCCTCAGAACAGATTTTGGGAGAACCAGAATCACCCAGTGGGAAGTCTCCACCCAGCCATCCCAGGAAAGTTTTCTCACACTCGTCCTGACTACTGGGAAAGGTGTCCCAGCAGCCGTGTGCCCTTGGTCTCCGGCAGGGGGAGAAGCGAGCTGACATCCAACTCAACAGCTTTGGATTCTATGCCAACGGTTCCCTGGAAGTGGAACTGAGCCTTCTGCGGCTGGGCTTCCTAGAGTCAGAAGAGAAGTCGCCACGGGTGAGGGGTTTATGGGAGTACTGGGTGCACGAACTTCAGAAGGGTTCCTGTGGTTCTGTATTTCGATCCTAGACTTGCCCTTCACCCACGTAGTCTGAGACTAGTCCTGTAGCCTCACTGAGCCTCGGTCTTCCCTCCTTTCACTTGGGAATATAGTGCTTGATGTAGGCTGGAAGTTTTGGTATAAATCCATCATCCTAAGCTTCTCTGCAGGCTGACACATCAAAACTGCCCCATCCCCTCACTGGGGGATTCTAGACTGTCACTCTACCCCCAAGCCACGCCCCCAGTCGCTCCCTGGGGGGTTCTAGGCTAGCACTTTAACCCTGGGCCATGCCCCCAGTCCCTTACTGGGAGGTATGGGGGATTCTGGGCTGTTAACTCTACCCCTGGGCCATGACCCCAGCCCCTCACTGGGGAATTCTAGGCAGGGGATGTACTGCTAAGCCACATGTCTTGCTTTTGTTGTTTACATGTTTTTATTTAAGTCTTTGGGAATTTTATATATGCATACAACGTATTTTGGCCATATTCCCTCCCAACTCCTCCCCTGCCTCCTCCCAGACCCACCTCCCTAGCCTCCTCCCAACTTCATATCCTTTGTTTTATAATAACTTAATAACTTACTGAGCCCTGTTAGTGCTGCCTCTATAATCCTGGATGTGGGGCACCCACTGGAGCATGATCAACCTACTAGGTTCATACCCTTAAAGAAAATTGACTCTCCCTCCTCTGGCAGCCATCACATGTCCATAGCTCCTTAATCAGGGGTGGTTGCTCATGAACCCCTTCCTTCCTGTGCTGGAATGCTGACTGGCTTGATCTTGTGTAGGCCACCACAGCTGCCGTGAGTTCGTGGGTACAAATGTCTTGTCATATCCGTATTTTGCTCCAATGCTCTCCAACTTCTGACTCTTACAGTCTTTCTGGCCCTCTTCTGTGGTGCTCCCCAAGCCTTGAAAGAAGGGGCGTGATGTAGATTACTTACGCCAGGCTTGCTTTGACATTTTGTTTTAAGAGAGGGTCTCATGTAGCCCAGGTTAGCTTGAATTCAAATTCCTCCTGCCTCAGTCTGTAGTAACTGGCGCCATGCAAGGTCCTGTCCAGCAGGTGTCCTGTGAAAAGTCTCTCTGAGGTGGCTGGAGAGCTGCCTCAGTGCTTAAGAGCACAGGCTATTCCTGCAGAGGACTCAAGTTTTTCCCAGCACCCACCTGGCAGCTAACAACCATCTGTAACTCCAGTTCCAGGGGATACGACACCCTTTTCTGGCTTCTACAGGCACTGTACATACTGTGTACTTACATACATACAAACAACATGCACACACACACACACATACACACACACACACACACACACACATAAAAAGAAAAGAAAAAGAAAGAAAAATCTCTGAGGAATTTTTTAATCCTGTGAGGTAGTTGCAGATAAAGGGGGTGTAGGAGGCGGAGATGGACAGGTTGTTGAGAATCCAGCATATAGTAGGTGTTCAATAAATGTGAGATTAACTTTGGGGAAATGGTGCATGGCTGTGAGCCCAGCATTCAGGAGGCTGAGGCAGGAGGATTCTCACAAGTTCAAACACAACCTGGGCTACATTGTGAGTACAGGCTAGCCAGGGCAACATAACGAGACCTTGTCTCAGAAAAGAAACAAACAAAAAAAGAGCTTCCAGTTCTTCTCTCAAGGGACAGTTTGGGGGTTCCCAGTTATTCTCCCTCTTTCTTTCCACCCACAGGTGGGGTTCAGCCTGACCCGGGTTCGATCTGGCAGCGTTCGCTCCTATTCAGTGAGTGCACAGGGTCTGAGGGGGTAGGGGAAACTGGGGTATGTTGAGGGATGTCTTCTTTATGTAGAGTGTGCAGCACCCCGTTGTTTTCCAGAGAGTGGGCAGAGAAAGGTCTGGTCTGGATGGGAAGGCAGGCATGGTGGGGTTGGGGCCATGGGAAGCGTGTCCCAGGTTCCCTCTATCCACTCTCCAGAGCCGAAATAGCCATGAATGCCCTCTGGAGAGAAACAGCAGCAACTTCCTGGTCCTGTTCCTCATCGACATCAAAGACCTGCAGTGAGTCCAGCTGGAAACCCACCAAAGACCCACAGCCCTAGGGAGAGCCTGTCACTTTGGTTACAGAGTGCTGTGTGTGTGTGTGTGTGTGTGTGTGCTGGGAACTGAATCCAGTGCCTCACAAATTACAGGCAAATGCCATACCCCTGAGTCATACCCCCAGCCCTTACTAGAGGATTCTTGGCTGGGGCTCTACCCTTGAGTTAAGCCCCCAGCCCCTCACTGGAGGATTCTAGGCAGAGGCTCTACCTCTGAACCACGCCCCCAGACTTCACTGGCAGTTTCTTGACAGGAGCTCTACCCTTGAGCCATGCCCCCATCTCCTCACTAGGCAGGTGCTTTCCATTGAGCCAGGCCTCCATCGTTTTTTTTTTTTAACTCTTTATTTTGTGTCAGGAACTCAGTAGGTTTTCCAGTTGGATGGTAAACTCACTTTGTAGCCCAGTATGACTTTGAACTCACAATCTTCCTGCATCAGCCTCCCAAGTAGCTGGGATCACAGACCTGGGCTACCAAGCCAGGCAATATTTTCTTTTAAATTTGGTACATGAATGACACTTTCCTTTGGACAAATCGTTGTTATTATAAGCAGCCTGAGTGTGATGGCCACCATGTTGAGTGGTGGCCAAATGGTAGGATCTGGTGACCAATGGCTCAGAGAGATACTCCCTTCCTCTTCCCCCACAGGGAGGGGTCTACCACACAGACTTTATAGCCTAACGGAAGGCTTCAGTGTCCCCTCCCTGGCCCCTCACCCTCACCCCAGTGTCCAGGTACGAAAATACGGGGAGCAGAAGAAATTGTTCATCTCTCCTGGCCTCCTCTCTGAAGCACCCTCCCCGTCAAACCTCGCCAAGCCAGTGCCCACGGGCACCCCCAAAGTGGACAGTGGTAAGTCAGACTGGCTGGGCAGGCAGGTAGGAGGCGGGGCTCTAGGCAGAGCTGCTCTGGGTGCATCTCCAACTCTCTGCACATCTATCTCTTAAAAGTCATTCATTCTCCTGCTCCTACAGGGACCTCTGCAGTCAACAAGGATCAGGAAAAGCTGGCAGTAACTCAGGTTCTAGGAGAAGGGGCTACCCAGGGGGATTACAGGCATGCGGCCCAGGGCCAGCTACCAACACAGCTAATGAGATTCTGTTCCCTCAGGAGCCCAGTGGAATGGAGAAGGAACTAGTGTTGGGGCTGGGCCACCTCAACGACTCTTATAATTTTAGTGTGAGTACCTGTCCTGCCTGTGTGTCTCTACCTCCCAACAACCCTGTCAGAGCTAGGGGATTCCCCACTCCATACTGAGACCTCCTCCCGCACTGCCCAGTTTCATGTGGTGATCGGCTCCAGGGCAGAGGAAGGACAGTACAGCCTCAACTTCCACAACTGCTACAACTCCAAACCAGGGAAGGAGCATCCATTTGACCTCACAGTGAGTGTCGAAGAAAAGTCGGTTCACGGCCAGCCTCACAGAAGCAGGCTCCACTTTTCTTTTCAAATTACATTTTCTTTATTTGGGTGATATGCATGCCATGGCACAGCTACAGGTCAGAGAACAACCGGAGGGGATTGGTTCTCTCCTTCCACCATGTGGGTCTTAAGGACAAAACTCAAGTCGGCAGCCTTGGTGAAAAGTACCTTTACCTACTGAGCCATCTCAAGGGCCCCTGGCTGAGCTTCTCATGTCCGTATTAGGGTGGTAGTGGGACCTTTCTGGGGAATCCAGTACACCTCTGATTGAAAGTATTTGGGAGAAGCCAAACTTGCATCTATCCCAAATGTGTTGAGGACTTTCTTTGTCTACAGGTATGTTCTTGTGTGCGGGTGAGCTTGCAGGCACGTGTATGCTGAAGTCAGAGGTCAACCTCCAATGTTGTTCCTCAGGCACCATCCCTTTTTTAAAATATTTTATTTATTATTTTTCTTTTGCGTGTGAGTGTATTGCCTGCATGTATGTTAAGTGGGCCCATGTTGTACAGTGCCCATGGAGGTCAGAAGAGGATGTCTGATCCCCTGGAACTGGAGTTAGGATGGTTGTTTGTCACTGTGTAAGAGGTGGGAACCAAACACTGGTCCTGTGTAAAAGCAGTCAGTGCTCTGAACCATTGAGTCTTCAGTGGCTCTTAACTACTCTACAACTCCGCCACCTCTTCTTTTGAGACAGGGTCTCCCTGTAGCCCCAGCTGGCCTGGAACTTACTAAGTAAACCATGTTGGCCTTTAACTTATAGAGATCAACCTGCCTTTGCCTCCCAAGTGCTGGAATTAAAGGCCTGCACCACCATGCCCAGCTAACTTTTTTTAAAAATATATTTTATTTTTATTTTATGTATATGAGTGTATTGCTTGCATGTATGTAAGTGCACCTGTGTCATGCAAAGCCTGCGAAAGCCAGAAGAGGACGTCAAATCCCCTGGAACTGGAGTTACAGACAGTTGTTAGCTGCTGTGTGGGTGCTGGGAATCGAACCCAGGTCCTCTGGAAGAACAGTAAGTGTTCTTGACTACTGAGCCATCTCTCCAGCCCCAAACTTTTTTTTTACATTAATTTGTTTTGAATGAGTGTGCACATGTTACACCAAGCATGTGGAGGTCAGAGGACAACTTGCAGGGGTCTGTTCTTCCACTTTTCATGGATTCTGGGGCTGGAACCCAGGGTGTCAGGCTTGACAACAAGTTCCTCTATGCATCTCACCCCTAACTTTTTTCTTCTCAGCGGCCAGTAAAGGACACATGAAGCCCTGGGTTCCATCCCCAGCACTCCATAAAACGAGGCATTGTGGTGCATGCTGGTAATCCCAGCACTATGAAGGCAGAGTCCAGAGGAGAGAGATCTCGATCTTCCTAGCCAGTCTAGCTAAATAGGTAGCGCCAGGTTCCAGAGAGAGAGATCCTGTGTCCAAAAACAAAATAAAACGAAACCAAGAGCCAGAAGATGGCTCAGCTGATAAGTGCACTTGCCACCAGGCCTGGCATGCTGCGTTTGACCCCAGGAGCCCACGTGGTAGAGACACAGAATGGACTCCTGCAAGTTGACCTCCACACGTGTGCCACATACACATACACTAAATAAGTAAATGAAAAAAAAGTTTTTGAGACAAGGCTTCACTTTACAACCCTGGATGTCCTAGAATTTGTTATGTAGACCAAGCTGGCCTCAAAACACAAGAGATCCACTCTCCTCTGCCTCCTGAGTGCTGGGATTAGAGGTGTGTGCCACCACACCGGCTCTTGAAGTTTTTTTTTTTTAATTATTAAAATAAATAAAATAAAAATTATTTACAGCTGCTGGGCATAGTGGTGCACACTTTTAATCTCAGCACTCAGGAGGCAGAGGCTGGTGCATCTCGGTGAGATGAATAGAACCCAGCCTGGACTGCATAGCAAGTTCCACGCCAGCTGGGACTCCAGGGAGACTGTCTCCAAAAACCAGAAAAAAGTGAAAGGAACAAAACACCTGCTGTCCCCTGGTCTCCATATGCACTACACAAACGATACAGTCACAGCCACATACCCCCGGGTGCACTGAAGTGGATATCATAGGTCTGTTTAAGGATGACTTAAGCATACATTTTTCTCCTCAGTGTCCCCTGAACAATACACTATAACCACTGTGTACCCACTATATACCTTATATCAGGCACTCAAGTCTTCTTCTAGAAGTGTTTTAAAGTCCCCTGGGGAATTTGGCAGGTTCTATGCAAATACTGTATCACTTTGTATAAGAGACTTGATCCCTGGGTCTTGGTGCCCGCTGGGGTCCTGGCTCCAGTCCTCATTGGATTTCAGTATATGGCTATCCATCCATTGGAGGGATAGTGCAGACTGAGGTTCAGTGAGGACCTACCCTCTCCACACCTCCAGCTAGACAGTGGAAGAGCTAGAGACTCTAACTTGCAGCTCTCTTGAAAATCCAGAGCTAGGAGTGCCTGCTCCGACCTCCATTGGTATAGGGGCTGAGAGCTCATCAGACTGCCTGTTCTGGCCTCCCCCTGGCATAGAACCTGCCGACCTGGCATAGGGGTTGAGAACTCGTGACCACCTGAGAGCGCCTGGATCCTGCCTCCATGTGGTGGCACCAGTCAAGGATTTTCTTTTCTCCCTACAGTTAAGAGTTATGCAATTTGGGAGTCTTTTAGATAGAGCCACTGAAGGGGTACCCCAATTGCCTCACCCTGCGTCCCTGTTCAGCATGGAAGAATCCAGAGTGGGCTGTGTCCTGCTTCCCTATCAGCAATTTGGGTAACCTCTTCAGAGGATGGTATGATAAGAATAGGAGGTAGGAATTGGCTAGGCAATTCCCCTAAGAAAAGTAGTCAATTTCTTGGCTAAAAGTCAAAATGTCCTTGGGCCTCTTAGTACTACATTCTCTGTTTCAAAGGCCAAAAATGTCAAAAGTATTTGGGCGCTCTTATCTAATCCTTAAAAGATTTTAGGGTTACCTCTTCAGAGGGGGGACTGTTAGAGTAGCAAAAAGCTCCATTAAGAAAAAGAAAGAGTACATGAAGTTGTTCAGGAAAAAGTGATGGGGAGATAAGGGAAGAGTTGGAGGGGAGGGAGTAGATGTGGATTTGATCAAAACACCTTATATGCGTGTATGAAATTCTCAGATTTTTTTAAAAGTTAAACAAAAATCCAGAGCTAGGGGTCAGCACCGGCGCAGCCACTGTCAGCACTCCCACTTTCCCAGGTGATGATCCGAGAGAAGAATCCAGAAGGTTTCCTGTCAGCAGCGGAGATTCCCCTCTTCAAACTCTACCTGATCATGTCTGCCTGCTTCCTGGCTGCTGGCCTCTTTTGGGTGTCTGTGCTCTGCAAGAACACGTAATATCCTTGCATCCCCTGTCACCACCCGCTGTCACCACCACTTCTCTGTGGATCCTCAACATCCCAACCTTGCTAACCCTCTCTCCATCCCGTTCTCCCTCTGACAGATACAGTGTCTTTAAGATCCACTGGCTCATGGCCGCCCTGGCATTCACCAAGAGCATATCCCTCCTCTTCCACAGCGTGAGTGTCTGGGGCCTGGTGGTGATCCAAGGGTGGGTGGCTGAGACCAGACATCTCCACCTGTGCACCTGTCCAATTCATCTGTCTACCACCTATCCTCCAATAGGACCAATCCGTTGGTCCAGTGGTGACTTGCTGTTTAACCATCCACCACTCAGTTGTGACCATCTCTCCATCATTGGGAGGGAGTCTGCATCCCAACGTTGGGAGTCTGTTTCTATGTCCCCCACACTCTCCTGCTCATAACCACTCATCTCTCTGATCACCTACCCATCCCATAATGATCCTCTTTGTTCCTAAATTGTCCCCCACTCATCCATCCTCTGACTATCCATCCGTCCCCAGATCAACTACTACTTCATCAACAGCCAGGGCCACCCCATCGAAGGCCTCGCTGTCATGTACTACATCACCCACCTGTGAGTCACCCGCTCTGCATGCAAGTAGGGAGCAGGCAGGGGAGGGCTGGGCCCTCACCTCCTCAGACCTCCATCACCTTGGCTCCCCCAGGCTGAAGGGTGCCCTCCTCTTCATCACCATCGCCTTGATCGGCTCAGGCTGGGCCTTTGTGAAGTATGTGCTGTCTGACAAGGAGAAGAAGATTTTTGGGATTGTGATCCCACTACAGGTAGGAGGGCTTCAAGGTGGGGTTACTGGGAGGGATGTTCAGAAGACATGCAGGGAGATATTCAAAGAGGGATGCTCAGGAAGGATACAGAGAGGGATGTGCATAGGCCGGAGGGGGTGTTATTGGCTATGGCTAATTTCTGGTTTGTGGGGACCTCTCATGGAACAAGGGTGAGGATAAAGTCGGGTGGCCCCCCTCCTGACCCACAGGTCCTGGCTAACGTGGCCTACATAGTCCTCGAGTCCCGTGAGGAGGGAGCCAGCGACTACGGGCTCTGGAAGGAGATCCTGTTCCTCGTGGATCTCATCTGCTGTGGTGCCATCCTCTTTCCAGTTGTCTGGTAAACTGGGTCCGCTACTCAACCCTGCTGAGGCCCTGCACCCAGTTCAGCCAAGGGCCTGACCCTCCACCCCAAACCAGCTGACAACCCTCCCCCAACCTCACTGAGGACTCACCTCCTGTGTACTCAGTGGTGGGATCAGCACTGACCAAGCCCCATGTTCCCCCATCTGCCCCAGGTCCATCCGGCATCTCCAGGACGCATCTGGCACAGATGGAAAAGGTGAGGCTTTGTCTACCTTCAAGGCTTTGTTCTCAGCCCGCTTCCTGACCCAGTCCCACTTTCTCTGCCCCCAGATGCCCTGGCCAGCCCCCACCTTCTGCATGGCAGTATGCTGGTGTCCCATCTTGTTTCCCCCGTGATACCTACAACCAGAACCTCTGTCCCGGGTCATTACTTCCCTTTTGACTTACTCCCTTTACTGACTGCCCCATCTTGCCACTGGATGACCACCCAAACATCCTCCCTGATCCCTCTGACCCCTGAACCCCACTCTGTTCCCATCCCACAGTGGCCATGAACCTGGCCAAACTGAAGCTCTTCCGACATTACTACATCATGGTAGGCACTGCGTTGCCCAGGCCTGGGTCCCTCCAGCTGCCCTCTGCTTCTGACTCCAAGCTCGGCCCCCTCTTCATGGTCCTCCAGCCCCTCCCTCCATCCTCCCTTCTGGTCCTCCCGGTTCTCCTGCCCCACGCCCCCTCATACTCCTACAGGTCATCTGCTATGTCTACTTCACCCGTATCATCGCCATTCTGCTGCAAGTGGCCATGCCCTTCCAGTGGCAGTGGCTCTACCAGGTGAGCCTGGCCGGAGCCTCATGTGGGTCAGCGCCAGCGGGTGCAGGGAGGCCCAGCCTGACCTCGTGCTTGCCCCACCCCCCAGCTCTTGGTAGAGAGCTCCACGCTTGCCTTCTTCCTGCTCACCGGGTATAAGTTCCAGCCAGCGGGGGACAACCCATATTTGCAGCTGCCCCAGGAGGAAGATGTGCAGATGGATCAAGTGTAAGCCGGGGCTGAGGGAGCATGGGCTGTGGGCCTGGGAGGGTGACCCAGGGCTGGGCAGCAGTAGGTAGCGTGGGGGAGGAGTTAGGTAGCATGAGGAGGGGCTAGGTAGGGTGGAGGGAGGGGCTAGGTAGGGTGGAGGGAGGGGCTAGGCAGTGTTAGGATGTAGGCTGCTCTGGAGGTGGGGCCTACTCTCCTCTGAGATGGGATCTGGGAGTGTGGGACTGGACAGAATGGAGATGAGGCTACACAGTATGTGGGAGGGGCCTAGGCTGCTCTGGGAGTGTGGCTGAAGGGAGCAAAAAATTGGGTATAGAGGCTCCAAGACTGGGAAGACAGGAGGAGTAGGGTCTAGGTGATTCTCAGAAATGACCTGGGGTGGGGCGTGAGGGATCAGGCCTAGGGAGTACAACATGGATATGGGTTGGTACGGGCATCTCCGAGAATCTGCCAGGAGAGCTGCGTTAGGGAGAGGGTGTCACTATGACAGCCAGGCAGTACAGCCTCAGAGGACTGGACCTCTGTGGGGTGGTAGAGCCAGGCCAATTGGAAGGCCGGGTTAAGACCACTGGGTGGATAGCCAAGTTGGCCGTGGGTGTGGAGGGGAGAAGAGTGGGCAGGGCTGAGGCAGCTCCTGAGCAGGGCCTGCTGCCCATCAGCTCCTCCTCCTTGTCTGCCCTTTCTCAGGATGACAGACTCTGGGTTCCGGGAAGGCCTATCTAAAGTCAACAAGACAGCCAGCGGCCGGGAGCAGTTTTAAGCTCCACTCCTGCGCCCCATATTCTGGCACCTGTTCCCAGCGTGCAGGGAGCCAAAGGGGCCCAAGCAAATAAGGCACCCGGACACAGGTTCCAAGAAACCCCCAGCAGCGGGCAGCCCCATCCTCACCAGGGAGACAATGTACCTTTCTACAGTACAATAAGGACCAACATGGTTTTTGTTACTTAAGTTTCTTGAGTTTCTGAGTTTTGAGAACCTGAGGCAAAGCTTTTTCTGACTTAGAATCCTGAATTCCAAGTCGGTGTGGTGACACGTCTGTCTTCCTGTTACTGGAGAGCCTGGGCCTCATGAAACCGTGCTCAGTAAAAATAAAATTAAAATTAAAGAAACCAGACTTCACCATGGAGTGGGGGTGGAGGTGGGGGTTGGTGGTCACTGTTCCTCCACGGTCAGTAAATGTTAACTGAGCAGCTGCTGGGCTGTGCTGGGCCCTGTGTCAGGTACTGAGGAAGGAGCATGACCAAGATCCCTCAAGGGGACAGGAGGGGGCCTTGGCAACAGCCAGCCCTGTCCTGGGGTCACCAGACCTAGGGTGAGGGTCACATAGGGACCTGACTCAGCTACAGAGTCAAGTAGGTAAAGGAGCCTCAGCAGTTAAGCACTTGCCACACAAGCTTGAGGACCTGGGTTCAGATCCCCAGATCTCAGCTTGGTGCTAATTTGTAATCCCAGCACTAGGGAGGATTCCTGTGGCTCTCCAACCAGCCAGCCAACCCAGCACCATGAGATCCTGTCTCCAAGTTAAGGGGCTGGAGAGCTGGCCCAGCAGTTAAGAACACCAGCTACTCTTGCTCACGGCCCCTAACAGTGGTCCTTACTCCACTTCCAGTGCTGTCTTCTGACCTCTGTGGGTATGGCACATACATAATGCACTTACATGTGGGCAAAACACTCATACCCATAAAAATAAATAAAAAGTTTTTTCAAAGGCTCAGTGGGAAAAGCACTCGAGGCCGATGACCTTACTCAGACCCTTTGATGTCCCCAACTGTAATCCCAGCCCTCCCACCGCAGGTAGAGGTGGAGTCAGGAGAATCACCTGCAGGCTCATGAGCCAGCCAGCCTGGAGCAGGCCCTGCCTGCCTCATGATGTGGAAGGAGAGAACTGCCTCTGAAAAGCTGTGGCCTGTGCTCACACAGGCTGTAGCTTAGTGGGCAGAGCTCACCTAGCATGCACAAGGCCCTGGATTCATCCCCACCCCCAAATGACAGCTACACAGATGAGCACCCCTCATTCCAGCACTCAGGAGGTGGAGGCAAGGGGATCAGGAGTGTAGGGTCTGCCTGAGCTACCTGGCTCTAGCTCTGTGGAAGTGGATGGTCATGGCTGTAGGGTCACACACGGCCTTGGCCTGGCCTCCTGGACCTATGTGGAGTGTGCCAGGACCACTGACTGGAGTCCCTCCCCCCTTAGAGTCAGCTCCTTTCTCTACCATCCCATGAAGGTACCTGGGAACTCCTGGTGGAGCTCTGAGAATCTTGGTGGGGCAGGGTTGGGGGAGGACAGGAATAAGGAGCAGGGCTGGGGGAAGCTTCCGGAATATGGAAATGAGCCCAGATGAATAAATAGCCCAGCTGGCTGAAGAGGGAAGTGGGGAAAGTTCTTGAAGGAGGAGCTGGCTGGGGCAGTAGCAGGCAGAATCAGACTTGGGAGGCTTTGCGCTAGGGCCCATGGGAGCCTTGGTAGGATTGAGAAAGTCAGGGCCCAGTGCAGTTGTACATGCCACAGTAGATAGAGTCATGACCTGCCCACTCCAAAGATAGGCGCACCCTAATTCTCAAGAATTGGGAATGTATTCCCTGATGTGACAAAAGGGACTTTGAGGATAGGGTTAAGGAAAGATCTTGCAAGGAGTAGGGATTGGGGGAGAGCTTAGTGGGTCATTTAAGTGGAAGGAGGGACAGTCAGGGCCAGAGGAGATGAGCTGAGGTTGCTGGGATTCCAGGAAGGGCCAGGAGCCAAGGAATGCAGGCAAACCCTAGAAACTGCAAAAAGCAGGGAAGTCAGGCGGGTTCAGACCTATCCTCCCAGCACTCAGGAGGTGCAGGCAGGGACCGACTGTGAGTTTGAAAACAGCCTGGGTTCTACTCTGAGACTGTCAAAGAAAAGGAATGGGTGAGGGGAAAGGAAGGACAGGCGGAGGAGAATAAAGGATGAGACAAGGAAAAGGGAAGAGGGAGAAGGGCTGGAGAGAGCGCAGCAGTTAAGAGCATGTGCTGCTCTTCCAGGTGACCTGGTTTGGTTCCCAACACCCAAGTAAGGCAGCTCACAACCACCTGTAACTCTAGCTCCAAGGGGCTTCATTGCCACCAGTGTGTGTGCACATACACAGCAACACACATGATTAGAAAATAATACGGCCGGGTGAGGTGGCACACGCCTTTCATCCCAACCCTCAGGAGACAGAGGCAGGCAGATCTCTGTGGGCTCTAAACCAACCTGGTCTACATAGAGTTCCAGGCCAGCTGGGGCTACAGGGAGACCCTGTCTCAAAAAAACATAAAATTAAGAAAGAGAAAGATGGATGCATATATGTATGTGTACCATGTGTGTGAAATGCCCACAGAGCCCAGAAAAGGGCATTGGATCCCCTGGAGGTGGAATTAAGAGCAATTGTTAGCTGCCATGTGGGTGCTAGGATGGTGCGGAGATAGAGACAGGGAACCTGAATGAACCTTCTACATGCCAGAGGCCCCTGCACTGTCTCCCCAGACTAGAGACTGTAGGGCCCCAGCATGAAGTAACACAGTAAGACTGGGGCTGCCCAGAGGAGCCAAGCCCGGATCCCAGCCCTCTGTGTCCTCCAGGACTGGAGTCTCCACCGGCTACTCTGTGTACCACTCAGGCCCAGGCCATGTTGACAGTATGGCCAGTCAAGGCCACCTGAGAGTTAATGACTTACTAGGTGGGAGAAAGGGCTGCTGAGCCCGGGTGCTGGAGAGAATTCCAGAAAGCTATGCGACAGGTGCCCATCCTGGAAGTGAGGGGACAGGAAACGGGGACTTTGGGGCTTTTGAGCCTGGAGGTGCCACTGTGGAGGAAAGGGTGGGATGGGATGCACTAGGGGACATCACACTCAGGCAGGTGAGAAGTTGGGGGACCCACCACCCAGAAATCACCTTTCATTCTCTCCCTGAACCCCAGTTAGGGGTGCAGGACTTCTACTGAATTTCAGATAAATCCTAAATCCAGGCTCCTTCCTCAGGGAACGTTTGGTCTAGGACCCTGTGGATAATGCAGATACAGGAATTCACAGAAGTTCTGTTAGAGGTCAATGATGCAATGTGCATAGAATTTTCAATTGCCCTCCAAAGACTAGGTAACTCCAGATAGCTGGCACATGTGTGCTGGGGCACGGTCACTGTACAGTGCAGTTCCCTGGCTTACTAGAGAGGGAGGGAAGATGTCGTGTGTTCAGTACAGATATGGTCCCCCCTCCAGGGACTCCCTGTATCCCCAGTTGGCCTGGAACTCACTCTGTAGACCAGACTTGCCTCGATCTCAGAGATCCACCTGCCTCTGCCACCTAAGAGCTGGGATTAAAAGTGTGCATCAAGAGCATTTATTTATTTACTATGTATTTGTTTGTTTGTTCCTCTGTTTGTTTGCAGGGTCTCCTGTAGCCCAGGCTTTGCCTCAACCTCTCTGTGTAGTTGAGGATGACCTTCAACTCCTGATCCTCCTGATCCTCCTGCCTCCACTTTCTGGAATGCTGGGATGATAGACCTGTGCCACCACGACTGACTTGTTTTGTTTTGTTTTGTTTTGTTTTTGGTCTTTTTGAGACACGGTCTCCCTGTAGCCCCAGCTGGCCTGGAACTTGCTATGTAGACCAGGCTGGCCTTGAACTCAAAGAGATCCACCTGCCTCTGCCTCCTGAGTGTTGGGATTAAAGACATGCTCCACCATACCTGGCTTGTTTGGAGTTTTGAGACAAAGTCTCACTCTAAAGCTCAAGCTGACCTCAAACTCATAGCAACACCTCCGCTTCCTCCTGAGAGGGATGGCAGGCAACACTAGGCACCAGTCTACTTCTGTGTGTTTGTGTACATGTATACATGTATGTATATGTGTCACGTATGCATGCACATATGCGTATGTGTGTGCATGGGTATCCGTTGGTGTGTGTGTCTGTGTCTGTCTATACATTCATGTGTGTGTATGTATGTGTGTGTGTGTGTACCCCTAAAGTTGATGTTGAATGTCTTCCTTGATTCTTCTCCACTGTTTTTTGTTTGGTTTTATTTTTGAGATAGGCTCTCCCTGTAGCCCAGGCTGGCCTTGAGCTCACAGAGATCTGCCTCCCGACTGCAGGGGTTAAAGGCAAGTGCCACTGTGCCCAATCCATTTTGTTTCTCTGTTTACTGAGTCCTCTTCCCTGAACTCTGCGCTCACCCATGTGGGTAATATAACCAGCCAGCTTGTCTGCCCAGAAAACCCCTGGGTACTGGGATTACAGACAGCCACCAAACCCACCCAGCTTTTCATGTGAGTGCTAGTACCCAAACTCAGATCCTCTCTACCATTGCAGCAAGCACTTTACCCACTGAACCATCTCCCCATGTCTCACTGTGTGGCCCATGGCTGACCTCAAACTCATGACAACCTTCCTCCTCAGCTTCTTCCTGAGTGCTGGGATGGCAAGTTTTTGTTTTCGTTTTTGTTCCTCTGTGTATGTGGTGTAACTCTTTTTCAGCTGAGAACTTCGCACAGATCTTATGAACTGTCAACCCTAGAGTTTTGCTCTCCCCTTCCCTGAGGCTGGAATGCTGGGCCCAGTGTCCCCCACGCTGAAAATCCCCTCCACAACTCCTGTACTGCTGGCTCAGCACCCCACCCTCCTCCCCAAGTCCTGGACTCCAGTTCTCATCCCTCAAGGGAGAGTCACAGTTGAAGAATTCCCCCTCTCCACCCATCCCCTTTCTCCTTCACAGTTGGCCCTGGTCCAGTCCTGGCATCGCTCCCAGCATGTATCCTGTGGTCTGGTCACTTCTAAGAGCTCAGGGCAGGGTCTAGACTGGGAAGGCCCAGACTCCCAGCCAGCCCAGAAATGGGCATGAGGGTTAATCTTCAAGTTGAGGATTGCTCTTTCCCTCTCAGCCCCAGGGCACCTGTATATGTGTAGCTCACTTCTCTGAGAAATTCAGACCTGTGTTCCGCCTCCCACCCATTGCTCAGGTTGCCAAATGGAGGCTCCACAAAGGATGGACCAAACCTTGCAGCCAAAAAGAAGCTGTAGCTGGTAAACCATAAAGCATCAATGCTTCTGACTAAAAGGAAACCAGAGGGGCAGGCAAGAAGGTTCAGTGGCTACAGGGGCTTGCCACCAAGCCTAATAACCTGAGTTCGAGTCCCAGCACCCACATGGTGACAAGAGAGAGCCGACTCCACAGTTGTCCTGTGACCTCCGCTTGCCCATGGTCACTCCTGTCCACTCACATCAGGCACACATGCACAAGAAGTAAAAGCAAATTAAATACTGATTTTAAACTCTGCAGGGCATGGTGGCGCATTCCTTTAATCTCTGCACTCAAGGAGGCAGAGGCAGGTGGATCTCTGTAAGATCTAGGCCAGCCTAGTTTACATAATGAGTTCCAGGTCAACTGGGGCTACAGGGAGACCCTGTCCCAAAAGGGCAAAAAATAAAAGTAAATCAATCAAAAAAATTTAAATAAAAAAATTAAAAATTTTAAAAGCGCCAGCAAGATGGCTCAGTGGGTAAAGGGGCTTGCTGCCAAGCCTGATGACCTGAGTTTGATCCCTGGGACCTGGTAGAAGGAGAGAACTGACTCCACAAGTTGTCCTCTAATCTCCACCTAAGAGCCATGACTTGCAGTGGTGCACACACACGTGAGCACATGTGCACACACACACACACACACAAATGCAATGGTAATTTCTTTAAGTAGAACAAAACCAGGATATTCAGTGCCTCATGGGGCAGAGAGAGAGAAACAGGAAGTAACAGGAGGGACTGGAGTACTAGGGGTCCAGTTTCCAAAGCTTGGAGACATCGAGCACAGGGGCCTGTAGTCCCCTCCCCCCCTCACTGAAAGTGTTTTGCAATACAACCCCCAAACAAGCCAGGTTTGTTTGAACTCCCAGAGGCTCTCTGGATCCTGACCAGCCAGGGGAGAGGTGTGGTTTACAGGAAATAGGAGCAAACTGCCCCTTAGTCCCTTCAGTGGTGGTTTCAGAAATCACCTGTTCTTGGATTGGGTGTCACTGCCTTAGTTCACACTGTCCCCCATAGCTATTCCTGTCCAGTGCTCAGAGGACAATGTTGGGGGTGGGGTTAGGGAAGAGCAAATGACAGAGACAGTGATCACCCTTGAAGCTGTCACAAACTTCCCAAAGTCAAGTGGGCATGGTGTTCCTGGAGGCTGAGGCAGGAAGATCTGTAATTCCAAACCAGCTACAAAAAATAAAAATAAAATAAAAAGGCTGGGGCTCAGTAGAGTGCGTATAGCTTAGTTGGTAGAATGCTTGTAAAACAGTGGGTAAAGTGCTTTTAGCTCAGTAGGTAGAGCCCTAGTCTAGCATGCAGGAGGCCCTGGGTCCATTCCCAGGACCATATAAACTAGGTGTGGTTGGCACACCGTGAGTTCTCATCCCAGCACTCAGGAAGTGGAGGCAGGAGGATCAGGAGTTCAAAGTTATCCTCAGCTGCTTTACAAACTAGAGGCCAGCTTGGACTCCATGAGACTCTGTCTCAAAAAGAAAACTGGGTGTTGTGGAGCATACCTTTAATCCCAGCACTCAAGAGAGGCAGAGGGCAGAGGCAGATGGATTCTGAGAGATTGAGACCAGTTTGGTCTACATAGAGTTCAAGGCCAGCTGGGACTACAGGGGAACACTTTCTCAGTAAACAAATAAATAAATAGAAATCTGAAATTCGGCCAGTACCAGAAGGAAATTAGCAATTTTTTCCTGCAAATTGCAAACTAGCCAGTGTGTGAATCATGGAATATTCAGAGGGTGGTTTGGCAAGACCTGGAAGATAACAATGTACCTACAGGCAAACCCTGCGACCTTTGCAGGAGAACTTGAGACCCAGTGGTTACCAGACATCACAGTTAGTGACAGAGCTCAAACCAGGAAGGCTCTCAGTGATTCCCACCATGCACAGAGCTTGATTTGTGACCCTGGAAATCTCTGTCCATCCATAGAGGTTGGTAGCTTTCAAACAAGGCCCAGGGGGCATCTGGCAGTGAGACCAAGGAAGCCGTGTGTGCATCGACCTGACACCATGTCTTTGCAGTATATTCACATACAAAAAAAAAGCAGCACGCAACCCAGGAAAGCCAGGAATTGAGTAGAGAGTCTTTGGGGGGTGGGGCAGGACTTGGGACAGGGTCTCTCTGTAGCCCCAACTGACCTGGAACTAGCTAACTAACTCACAGAGATCTGCCTGCCTCTGTCACCATACCCAGCTATTAATAGCTATAAAACGTGGGTTGGTAACAAGGATGAGACACAAATAACCTTTTGTTCTCTACCCATGAGTACATTTATTTATTTACTTATTTTATTATTTTATTTATTTATTTATGAGTATCATGTAATCCAGGCTGACCCGTGTCTTGCAATGCCACGGACGTCAGAAGAGGGCTTCAGATTCCCCTGGAACTGGAGTTAAGGACTGTTTGTAGCCACCATGCGGTGCTGGGAATCAAACCTGGGTCCTCTGCAAGAGCAGTCAGTGCTCTTAACTGCTGAGCTATCTCTCCAGCCCCTCCTGGTGACTTTTTAAAAGCACCATAGTCACTCAGGCACCCTGACAAGGGAGGGCGAATGAGGCCCAGGTCCCTTTCCTTAGAAAACACACACACTTGGGTAGTGAGCACTCTTAGACATCCTGCAAAGCCCTGCAGAACTGTCCCCACGTCCAAGGAGCTTTTCCCATTCACTAGGAAACAGAATTCTTCCTTCCCACTGGAGAAAGCTCACCACAGAGCTGAGAATGTCAGTACTGAGCTCTGATGCTCTCTCCTCCTCTTCCTCCATCTCCTCTATCTCCTTCATCATCTCCGCCTCCTCTTTGTCCTCTTCCTTCTCATTTTCTTCCTCCTCCTCCATCTCCTCCTCCTCCATCTCCTCCATCATTTCCTTCTCTTCTTCCTCCTCCTCTTTCTCCTTCCCCTCTCCTCTTCCTCCATCTCCTCCTCCTCATTTTCTTCCTCTTTCTCCTCTTCCTCCTCCTCTTCCTCCTCCTCATAGAAAAGGTTTAGTTTATAAATGCATGAGCTGGGTGTAGTGGGCCCAGCAACTGGAGAGGCTGAGGCAGGAGGATTGATTGAAGACAGGCATTCAGGACCATACTAGGCTGCTTAGCAAGATACACAGCTGTTGAAAGAAAGAGGAGATGATGAATGAGAGAGAAAAGGAGGGAGGAGAGAAAAAGGAAGGGAGGGAGGAAGGGGGGAGGGTAGAGGGAAGGAGGGAGGCAGGGAAGGGAGGGACCAGGGACTAAGGAAAAGAAGATCAGAGCAGAAGTTTTGTGGGTCTGGGCAGGATCTCACACTAGAAGTCACTGTACCTCACTGTGCAGTGCCTGGAAGGCACAGTCCTGCTCAGCATCTAGTCTCAACCCCCTGAGAGGCTAAAGCCAGCAGGTGGTTCCTGGCTCAGGAAATGTGCCCCAGGTTACTCACCCCAAGACATGTTGGCCCAAGGCTTGTGAAAAGCTTAGGAAACAATATTGAGAAATCTGGGGCAGCCCCAGAACACAGGGAGGAGGGAGGGAGGAGGGGAGGGAGGCAGGGAGGAAGGGGGGAGGGGGCAGGAGAGGGGGAGGAGGAGGAGGAGGCAGGAACTACATAAGAGGCCCTGACCACAGCCCCACTCACTCCTGTCCACCCTGTCCCTCTGTCCCTCCACTGTCTTTCATTATGGGACCTAAGTCAGGTTCTCGGCTGTTCCTGCTGCTCCTGGCCAGCCTCCCCCTGGTCCTGGGGGACCCCACGTGAGTAGTCACCTTCTGGTGCTGCCTCTTAGACAATCACACTGGGGTGGCTGTGGCTTTCGGGGGGGTTCCCATATTGGGGTGTTAAGAATTTCAGTTGGGGGGCTAGGGAGATGAGCCAGTACTTCAGTATAAGCATGAGGACCCGAGTTCGAATTCCAAACACTCATGTAAAAGGCCAGGGCAGTGCTGTGGGGGGTGGAGATAGGATGATGGTTGGGGCTTGCTGGCTGCTAGCGTGGCTCCAGGTTCAGTGAGAAACCCTGTCTCCAGGGGATAAGGCAGAGTGTGCAGAGCAGGACATGGAACATCCTCTTCTGGCCTCTACACACACACACACACACACACACACACACACACACACACACGCTCACCAAAGAATTTGGGCTGCCTGTTTGTCACAATGTTTACAGGTCTAGAGTTCACAGAACTCAGATATTGTAGCACTGAGGTGCCTATTTATAGAATTGGGGTTTGTAAATTTAGGGTGTCTCATTTTTCATCATTTCATGACTGGGGCAGTTTAGACACCTCAAGATTTGGACTTGTAAACCTGGTGTGGTGGCACACACCTGCCATCCCAGGACTTAGGAGGTAGAGGCAGGAGGATCACAAGTTCAAGGTCAGCCTTGGCTACATAGCGAGTTGGAAGCCAGCCATAGCGAGTTGGGATTAATAATAATAATAATAATAATGTAAGATTTAGAATGTTTGAAGAGCTCAGGGGGGTAGGCTAAGTTGTTGAATGAAATTGGGGAGCTGAAGGGTTATTTGTAGGTTTGGAATTCCCTATAATTTGTTCTAAGATATAGGGTCTAGATGCTTGTGAGCTTGGATGTATGTAATTTGGGTGTCTGATGATCTTCATGTTTGTGTATTTGGAGATGTTTACGGGATGTCCTGGTTTAGGGCTTCCTTTGAAGTGGGTTTAGGCAAAGGTGGATTTGGCTTTTGAGGACTTTGGGGGTCAGAGGGCTCTGCAGCCCCTAGCTGTGCAAGCTTTTAAAAGCTAAGCTTAGGTTGGGCCTGGTGATGCAGGCCTGTCACCCCAGCCACTCTGGAGGCTAAGGCAGGAGGATTGCACATTTCAACCAGCCTTGGCTACAGAGTGAGTTCAAGGCTAGCCTGGGCACCTTAGTGAGATGTGCTACATTGAAAAAAAAAAAAAAAAAAACGAAAACTGGACTAGGGACAGTGCAGTGGTAGAGTGCTTGCTTAGCATGTGCAAAGATCCTGGACTCCATTCCCAATATTGGGAGGTGGGGAGCAGGTCTGGGTGGCTGAGGGAATGTAGGTCATGGTAGAGTTCTTCCTGGTGTGGAAAAGGAGGTGATGTGGCACAGGGAGGAAGGTGGACCCTGAGTCTGCTGACTGGTGTCCAACCCAAACTGGAGGCCCTCCAGGATCGGATACTGGGCCAGGTGCCTGTGAGCAGAAGGCAGCCAGGCACTGAGGGGCCCAAGGGCAGAGTCTCCCCCCAGTAACATCTGAGCTCCTGCACCCCTTGCCCAGGTACTCCATGATCACCCCCAACGTTCTGCGACTGGAAAATGAGGAGACCATTGTGTTGGAGGCCCATGAGGCAAAGAGTGACATCCCGGTCACTGTCATTGTGCACGACTTCACCAAAAAGCAGGTGCTGACCAGTGAGAAGACCATGCTGACCAGTGCCACTGGACACCTGGGCACCGTCAACATTAAGGTGGGTGTGGGCAGGGGATGGTCAGAGGATACCCATAGCCTGGATGACCCCAGCACCTGGGGACAGCCATAGCCCATTCCCCCAGCCCTACTTCTCTGGGCAGCCTCCTTCAGCAGCCACTTCTGAGCCCTCCCCTGAGTCCCCCCATCTCCTCACCTCTGAGTCTCCCCCTCCCTGGTTCCCCTCCAAGTCCCCACTCTCTTCCTTCCCCAGTGTACCCCCTCAATGTCTCCCCCTTGAAGTCTTGTCCCCCAAGAGTCTACCCCGAGTCTCCATCCCTTCCCCCACACCATCCCCATCTCCACCCTTTCTTGGTGTTTTGTTGGGTTGTTTGTTTGTATGTTTGTTTATTTGTTTTTGAGACAGGGTCTCCCTGTAACCCCACCTGGCCTGGAACTCACTATGTAGACCAGGCTGGCCTGGATCTCACTGAGCTCCACCTGCCTCTGCCTCCTGAATGCTGGGGTTAAAAGCTACCACCCCCTGCAGAGTTTCTCCCCTCTGTATCTTCCCCCTCCCAGAATCTACCCCTCACCCAGTCTCCTCTCTCCTGAGTCTTCCTCTCGCCTCAGTTTCACCCCCCAGTGCCCCCCTCCTTCTCCTGCACCTCCCCTTTCTGAGTCTTCCCCCTGAGTCCTCCCACCAGTCTCCCCCCAGTCTCCTCCCCTATGAATCTCCTCCCATCTGAATCTCCCCCTGCCTTCCCATGAGTCTCCTCCTCCCTGAGTTCCCCCTCCAGTCTCCCCTCTGAGTCCTCCACCTCTGAGTCTGCTCCTCCCTCCCAGTCTCCCCTTCTGAGCCCTAGCCCTTTTGAGTCCCTCAAGGCCTCCCTTCCGTGGTACCCTCCTCTCCCAGGCCCATCCCTCTGGGAGTGGCCCTTTTTGGCTCCCCTCTCTGACTCCTGACTTGTCCTCACAGCACCCCTTCCCTCCCCAAACCTGACAAACTCCTGAGGACTGAGTGGAGGCACAGGGGCATGGAAGGCTGACACCCCCTCCACCACCCCCACTCTTAGATCCCAGCCAGCAAGGAGTTTCGTTCAGAGAAACGCAGCAAGTTCGTGACACTGGTGGCCAACTTCGGGGAAGCGCAGGTGGAGAAAGCCGTGCTGGTGAGCCTGCAAAGTGGGTACCTCTTCATCCAGACAGACAAGACCATCTATACCCCAGGCTCCACAGGTGAGTACTTCGGGAGGCTGGGGGGGGCACCCAAGCTTGGGGAGGAGGAGGGCTCTCACCGGGTCAGAGCTCTCACCGCGCTCTGTTTCTCAACCACACCTTCCAGTCCTCTACCGGATCTTCACCGTTGACCACAAGCTGCTGCCCGTGGGCCAGACAGTGATCATCACCATTGAGGTATCCAGGAACTGAGACCGACTGGCAAAGGGTTACACAGTCACCCATGCTGTCAGAGACAGCACAGACCTGGGGAGACTCATAAGAGGGTCAACAACCAAGGACTCCTGTTCCAGATAACCCTAGGCTAGCCAGAGGGCTCCTGATGAACATCTGACTGAGACTTCCTTCCTCCTCTGCCCACAACCCTCTGTGGCTCCCATCTCCTTTGGGGTCAAAGCCCAAGTTCTCCCTGCAGCCCAGCTGGTCCTGTCCCATCCCCTTCCTGCCTCCCTCCTCTCTCTCTGCACCAGTTCCTTCTGCTCCAGCCACAGGGGTCTCCTCAGGCTCTGTCCTGCCCTAGGGCCTTTGCACAGCTGAGCTCTCCTTTCAGAAAACCCCTTTTTCCTCCAAATACACAGCTCACCTTTCTCCAAGTCTCAGCTGGAAGCCATGCTTGGCACCCTATAAAGTCATACACACATATGCCCCTTGTCCTCTGAATGCCCAGGCTCTTGCTGTATGTCCCGAGCTAGGGAGGTCTTTATTGTTGTTATTGGGGTTTTAAAACATATATTAGCAGGGCATGGTGGCACACGCCTTTAATCCCAGCACTCAGGAGGCAGAGGCAGGGGGATCTCTGTGAGTTCAAGGCCAGCCTGGTCTACATAGTGAGTTCCAGGACAGCTGGGGCTACAGGGAGACCCTGTCTCAAAAAGACCAAAAACAAAACAAAACAAAACAACATCTTATTGCCAGGTGTGGTAGTGTACACCTTTAATCCCAGCACTTGGAAGGTAGAGACAAGCGATTTCAGGCCAGCCTAGTCACATAGTAAACTCCAGGCTAGCAGGGACAGGGAGACCCTGTCTCAAAAAAAAAAAAAAAAAAAAGACAAAATTTTATTAATTATTTTCATTTTATGTGTATGAGTGTATTACCTGCATGTGTGTAAGTATACCCATGTCGTGTAATGCTGAGGTCAGAGGAGGGTGTTGGATAACCCGAACTGGAGTTACGGATAGTTGTTAGCTGCCATGTAGGTGCTGGGAACTGGACCTAGGTCCTCTGCAGGAGCAGCCAGCCAGTGCTCTGAACCACTGAGCCATCTCTCCAACCCCAGTTAATTTGGGTTTTTTGGTACCAGGTCTCCCTGTAGCTCCAGCTGGCCTGGAACTTGCCATGTAGACCAGAGATCTGCCTATCCCTACCTCCAAAGTGCTGGGATTAAAAGCGTGTGCCACTAGGGGCTGGAGAGATGGCTCAGAGGTTAAAAGCACTGGCTGCTCTTGCAGGGGACCCAGGTTCAGTTCCCAGCACCCACATGGCAGCTGACAACCATCTACAACTCCAATTCCAGGGGATCCAAGGCCCTTTTCTGACCTGCATGGGCATTGTACTACATGGGTGCACTTAAATATATGCAGGCCATACACTCATACACTTAAAAATAAAATGTTTTTTTTAAAACTGTGTGTCACCATGCCAAGCAATGCCCTTTATTTAAACGTGTACCTGCAGCACAGAGAGGCACAGCAGGCATTTGAACCTAGGCTTGCTTGACTGGTCTAGGTCTGGTTTTTTGTTTTGTTTTGTTTTTTTAATTTCTAGGTCTGTTCTTAACCACTGTTTCTGTAGACATGGTAAATGAGGTGGACAGGAGCGCAGGGAATGGGTAACGCTAAGTCTGGGGTCTAAGAGCTGCCTTTAGTCTTTCTGACTCCATACAGACCCCGGATGGTGTCTCCATTAAGAGAGACAGGCAGTCTTCCCACAACCAGAATGGCATCGTGCCTTTGTCTTGGAATATTCCAGAACTGGTCAAGTATGTCTGGGACTCCAGGAGCTGGGCTGTGGGGCTCCCCTGTCCCACGGGAGAGGTGGGTGGAGAGGGGGTGCTGGAGGCCTGGCCACATCCTAACCTTCTCCCCAGCATGGGGCAGTGGAAGATTCGCGCTTTCTACGAACACTCACCGCAGCAGGTGTTCACCACTGAGTTCGAGGTGAAGGAGTACGGTAAGTGGACAGGGGACGCTAGGGGACAGGGCCATGGTGCCCCGCCAACAGCCCAGCAATGCCATCTCCCCACCCCACTCCAGTGCTGCCCAGTTTTGAGGTCCTGGTGGAGCCCAGAGAGAAATTCTATTACATCGATGACCCCAAGGGCCTGGAAGTTTCCATCACCGCCAGGTGAGGGTCTGGGGCGTGAGACACCAGAGATGGGGCAGGGACAGTGTTGGGTGTTCAGCCACAGGATGTGGAACCTTCCAGAAAGTCATAGTCTCCTTGCCTCGCAGGTTCTTATATGGGAAGAACGTGGAAGGGACAGCCTTCGTCATCTTCGGGGTGGAGGACGGGGAGCAGAAGATCTCTCTGGCTCACTCACTCAGCCGTGTGGTGGTACAGATCGGGGCTGGGAGGTCTGGAGGGTACCCCACAGCAGGCCACGCCTCCGGAGCGGCACCCTCAGGGCCCCGCCCTCCTCCGAGCCCCTCCCCTTACAAGCTCCGCCCCTCCCTCCTGAGCCTCTCCCCTATCCAACCCCCCACTTCTCTGAGTCCCCCCTCTCTGAGCCCCTCTTCTGCCTGAACCCCTATCCTACCTGAGCCCCTCCCCTGTCTAACCCCTTCCCTGTCTGAGCCCTTTCCCTTTCTAAGTCCCGCCCCTGTCTGAGCACCTCTTTTCTCTGAGCCCCTCCCCTCCCAGAGTCCGCCCCTTATAAGCCCCGCCCCTTGAGCCCCACTCCTGCTCCTCCACAGATAGAGGACGGCTTCGGGGAGGCAGTGCTAAGCCGGCAGGTGCTGCTGGACGGAGTACAGCCGTCCAGCGCCGACGCCCTGGTGGGGAAGTCGCTATACGTGTCGGTTACAGTCATCCTGCACTCAGGTGAGGCTACTCTGACCGGAGAGACCCGGACTGAGAGAGGAGGCCTGCCCTGTGGGGCTGCAGGAGAGCCAGCCCTCATGGTCACCGTCCTTCTGCTCAGGCAGCGACATGGTGGAGGCAGAGCACAGTGGGATCCCAATTGTCACCTCCCCATACCAGATCCACTTCACCAAGACGCCCAAGTTCTTCAAGCCAGCCATGCCCTTTGACCTCATGGTGAGACCCGGTCCCTACTTCTGCCTTCAGTGACCCTGATCACACACCTCCTGACCCTCCTCCACCTGCCCACCTCCACAGGTGTTAGTGACTAACCCTGATGGCTCCCCAGCCCGCCATGTGCCGGTAATCACCCAGGGCTCCGAAGTCCAGGCTCTCACCCAAGAAGATGGCGTGGCCAAGTTGAGCATCAACACGCCCAACAACCGCAAGCCTCTGACCATCACAGTGAGTCTGAGGGAGCTCAGGGTGCTGGTGCACAGGATGAGGAATGGGTGCCCAAAGCCAGGAGAGGGTGTCCAGAGCCAGGAGGGTGTGCTGAGAGCCAGGAGAGCAGGTGTCCAGAGCCAGGAGGGGGTATCCCCCACCAGGAATGGGTACACAGGAGCATGACTTTCATAATGCAGTTCACTAAAGGTCCCATTTTAGTTACTCTGGTAACAAAATACCTGACAAAAGGGGCTGGAGGGCTGTGTCTGCAGTTAAGAACAATGGCTGCTCTTATGAATCAGTTTTTAGCAGCCACAAGATGGCTAACATCCATCCATAACTCCAGTTCCAGGGGATCTGACACCCTCTTCTGGCCGCCATGGGCATTGCATACATGGGTGCACTTACATACACTCAGGGAAAACACTCAGACACATGAAATATAAATAAATAAATTTTAAAAAACTAAAAAATACCTGACAGAAGTCAATTAAGGAAGGAAGGGTTTATTCCCGCTCATGGTCTGAGGGCACAGTCCATCATGGTGGGGAAGGCATGGTGTCAGGAGCGTGAGGCAGCTGGTCATGTCACATCTGCAGTCAGGAAATAGAAATGGATGCTGGTGCTCTGCTCACTTTCTCCTTTTTAATGTAGTCCAGGGAATGGCGCCACCCACATGCAGGATGGGCCCAAAGGTGATCTGAGATCCTGTCAAGTTGACAGTTAATATTAAGCATCACAGACCCTGTGAATGGGCATGGAGTCCCAGGTCTCAGGGCATAGGACGTGGGTATCTCTGGGGAACCAGTGCCTCTTTCTTTCCCCACCCAGGTACACACCAAGAAGGAGGGCATCCCAGATGCCCGGCAGGCCACCAAGACCATGCAGGCACAGCCCTACAGCACCATGCACAATTCCAACAACTACCTGCACCTCTCTGTGTCTCGGGTGGAGCTCAAGCCAGGGGATACTCTCAATGTCAACTTCCACCTGCGTACGGACCCAGGCCAGGAGGCCAAAATCCGCTACTACACCTACCTGGTACATGGACGCCAGGAATCTCATCCCCTGCAGCCTAACTGTCCAGCACCCACGGCACCCCTCCCCAGCCTTGGGACCCCTTCCCGACCTCAGGAATCCTCAGCCCCGGGACCCCTCCCTAACCTCAGGATTCCAGCTCAGTCCCAGGACCCCTCCCCAATCCCTGTAACTGTCTCAGCCCTGGGACTTCTTTCCCAGCCCTAGGACCCTCTTCCCAGCTCTAGAACCACCTTCCCAGTCCCAGGACCCCCTTCCCAGCCCTGGGACCCCCTCTCAGCTCCAGGACCCCCTTCCCAGCTCCAAGACTTCTCCCCAGCCCCAGCCCTACCTAGTCCATCCCACCTGGCCCCACCCTGGTCTTTATGCCAGCCTGTCCTCCCTCCAGGTCATGAACAAGGGGAAACTGTTGAAGGTGGGGCGCCAGGTCCGGGAGCCTGGCCAAGACCTAGTGGTCCTGCCCCTGTCCATCACCCCAGATTTCATTCCTTCTTTCCGCCTGGTGGCTTACTACACACTGGTTGGAGCCAGTGGTCAGAGAGAGGTGGTGGCCGACTCTGTGTGGGTGGATGTCAAGGACTCATGTGTGGGCACGGTGAGTATGCCTGGTGCTGTCTGTCTGTCTGTCTATCTCTGTCTCTCTCTTCCCCTCTTCTCTTTCTCCTCTCTCCCTCTCTTTTCTCCTCTCTTCCTCATCTCTCTTTCCTCTTCTCTGTCTCTCTCTCCTCCTCTTCCCTCCCTCCCTCCACTTCCCTCACTCCCCCACCACACTCCTCTTTGCCTCCCTCTCCCACTCTCTCTGGTCCTATTGTGACTGACTCATCCCACCCCCACCCCCAGCTGGTGGTGAAGGGCGACCAGAGGAACAACCGGCAGCTGGCACCTGGGCAGCAAATGACCCTCAGGATAGAGGGGGACCATGGGGCCCGAGTGGGGCTGGTGGCTGTGGACAAGGGCGTGTTTGTGCTGAACAAAAAGAACAAGCTCACTCAGAGCAAGGTAGACACTACTGGGCTGGGAGCAGCATTGGGGGATGGGGGTGTGCTGGATACGTGAGGCTGGGCAGGTGTGGCTGGCAAGGAAGGGCTGGGTGTGAGGTGGAAGCAGCTTAGGTGGGCTTCTTAGGGGTTGGATGAGGCTCTGCTGACCTGGCCTCTCTCCATCACCCCTCAAAGATCTGGGATGTGGTGGAGAAGGCAGACATCGGCTGCACCCCAGGCAGTGGGCAGGACTACGCTGGCGTGTTCACTGACGCAGGCCTGGCCTTCAAGACAAGCCAAGGCCTGCAGACTGCCCAGAGAGGAGGTGAGAAGAGGGCCAGGGACTGAGACCAGGACCAGCACACCTCCATCCTAAACACCTGTGTACAGGAGGACCATGCAATCAGGAGACCCAGTCTCAGTCCCGCCATCAGGGCACCAGCCCATCGATCCTTTTTCTTTAAGAAAAAAAGATTTTGTTTATGTATTTATGTATTTATTTACTTATAATTTATTCATTTTTTATTTGCTTTTACATTTTTTATTTATTTTTATTTTATGTGCATGAGTGTTTGCCTGCATGTATGTAAGTGCACCTTGTGTGTAATACCTCCAGAGAACAGAAGAGGGCATCAGATACCCTGCAACTGGAGTTACAGATGCTTGTTAGGGTTCTGGGAACTGAACCTGAGTCTTCTGCAAGAGCAGCTAGTCCCCTTAACCCCTGAGCCATCTCTCCAGCCCACATTTATTTATTATTTTATTTGTTATGGGGAGGAGCACATGTACCATAGGACACATGTGGAGGTCAGAGGATAATTTGCAGGAGTTTTCTCTCTCCTTCTACCATGTGGGTCCCAGGGATTGAACTCAGGTCTTCAGTCTTTGGGGCAATCACCTTTACCCACCGAGCCCTCTCACTAGGCCCCATCACTGCTCTTAGCACCTCAATTTCTGCAAAATGGGTACAATCATACCCAGACCTCACCTATCTCCTTCCTGTTCTACCTGTCCCTTCAGATCTCGAGTGCGCCAAGCCAGCTGCCCGCCGCCGACGCTCAGTGCAGCTGATGGAAAAGAGGATGGATAAAGGTTAGGAACCTTCCTGTGCCCCCATCACCCACCCCCAGCCTGGCCTTTTAGAATCCCTGTGGGTCTCTCCCTCCCCTCGTGGGCCATTGGCCACCAACCCACGAGAACAAAGGGAGCAGAAGCGAATGGGTTCAGGATGGCCAGTGAGCACCACGAAAAAGCTTTTCCGGGGAGGCAGATTCAGTGATACAGCTCCGTTTATTCAGTGGGGGTTAGGGAAAATATAGTGTGGAGGCAGCAGCCAAAGCCTCAGCTGATAGGTGCTCATAGTATGCTTTATTTACATGTGGTGGGGGGTTCCTATCATCGGACTATGGGCAATGCCTAATTATCATATAGAGAAAACCTGGGGGCAGTTTTATTGCAGTAACTATGCCAAAGGTCATGTTCCAAATAAGGTCAGGCATCCGTGCTTAGCAGCACTTTCCAGGTAAGTCAGGCAGCGAGCAGGAGGCCCCCGCTGAGAAAGGGAGTCCTTCCATATAGCACCGAGCCCCTTAGAGCTATCTGGACATGGTGGACTGCAACCTTAGCAACAGGGTCCCCCAACAAATCCCAAGAGAGAAGAAGGCAGCCCTCCTTGCCCAGTTCTACCTGGAGTCTGCCTAGGGGCTCTCCTGCTTGGGGGACACCCTGGATGAAGCTAGAGGCTGACTAGGGATCTGGGCCTCCCACAGCTGGTCAGTACAAGGACAAACTTCTCCGGAAGTGTTGTGAGCACGGGATGAGAGAGAACCCCATGAAGTTCAGCTGCCAGAGACGGACAGAATTCATCTTACAGGGCAAGGCCTGTGTGACGGCCTTCTTGGATTGCTGCATGTACATCACCAAGCTTCGGGAGCAGCACAGGAGGGATAGCATGCTGGGCCTGGCCAGGAGTGAGTGGGGAGTATGGGGAGGGGTCTGCTGTGGGGGGAGGATACACCTCCCTGGAGATAGGGGAGACTACTCGGCTAGGTGGAAGAGTAACTCCTGCCGCTGTCAGGGAAAGACCCTCATCTGAGGGAGGTGAAAACCCTCCTGAGAAGCAGAAAGGTTTAGATTGCTGCCAGGGGTCCTGGGAAGCAAGATTGTGATTTCAGCCCCAAGGGGGCAGAGGGAGGAGGATGGAGAGTTGGAGACCAGCCTGGGCTTTATAGCAAGGGAGGAGGAGAGAGGGCAGAGAGGAAGGGAGGGAGGCAGGCTGGCTCAGAGAAGAGAGTGAAAGAAGCCAGGGCTTTTCCAAGTACTGACCATAGGCTCTCTCCCCCACTTACACTCCCAGCTCACAAACCAAGTCTTCAGCAAAACAGGGAATTCTCTTACACACACACACATACACACACACACACACACACACTCACACACATATACATTTTGAATTTTGAATCTGGGTATGGGGGCACTCATCTATCATCCCAGCCCTGGGGAGACAGAGGCAGGAGGATTGCTGCAAGTTTGAGGCCAGCCTGGACTACATAGTGAGTTTCCCACGTATAAGGAAGCCACTGGCAAAGTAGGCCCCTTTCCGAACCAGATCTATCCACCCTCAGGTGACCTGGATGAAGACATAATTCCAGAAGAAGATATCATTTCCCGAAGCCATTTTCCAGAGAGCTGGCTGTGGGCCATTGAAGAATTAAAAGAACCAGAGAAAAATGGGTAAGGGCTGATGAGAGGGCTCAGAGAGTAAAGGGGCTTGCCACCAAGCCTGATGATCTGATCTGAGTTTGGTCACCAGGATCCACAGGATGGAAGGAGAGAACAGACTCCCCCAAGTTGTCCTTTGACCTCCACACAAAGGTCATGGCACATGTCGCCCTAAACACACATAAATGTATTGAAGGGAGGATGCCTTTAGTCCCAGAACTGGGGAGGCAAAGGCAGGCGGATCTCTGTGAGTTCAAGGTCAGCCTGGTCTACATAGTGAGTTCCAAGCCAGCCAGGGCTACAGGGAGACGCTGTCTCAAAAATACCAAGAATAAATAATAAATAAATAAATAAGGGGATGAGGCCAGGATACTCCCATTCCACACCCCTCTCTAAGATCAGCCAGCATCCTGCCAGACTAGCCCTTTAATTTGCATGCCATTTGCATGCACCTACCAACTTCCTGTCTCCTCTAGAGTCACGGTGGAATCCCATAGCGTGAATTGGGAAAGCCAGATTTGGATCACTTCCATATGTTCACCCCCAGATCTCCTCTCCAACCCATCCCTTGGGGTCCCTTCATCTCCATCCTCCCCCTCCTCTACTAGACATGCACACCTAATTATTTTTAACCTCCCTGCAACCTAGAATCTCCACAAAGGTCATGAACATTTTCCTCAAAGACACCATCACCACCTGGGAGATTCTGGCTGTGAGTCTGTCAGACAAGAAAGGTAAGGACAGGGATGCGGGGGTGGTGCTCTGTGGGTAAAGTGACACAAGGACCTGAGTTCCCCAGAACCCACATAAAAAGCCAGGTGTGGTGGCAAGTGCCTGTAATTGCAGCCCTGGAGAAAGGGAGCCGGAAGGATCCCCAGGGCTCAGTGGCCTGCCAGTCTAACAAAATCAATAAGCTCCAGGTTCAGTAAGAGACCCTGCCTCAGATAACAAGGTGGGGAGGGGTGTGGGACTGGAGAGCCAGCTCAGCAGTTAAGAGCACTGGAGGCTCTTGCAGAGAACTCAAGATCAGTTCCCAGCACCCACATGGTGCCTAACAACCACACTTAACTCCAGTTCCAGGGAATCTGACACCTCTTCTAGCATGCATGGGCAATTGTACACAAACCTGCATACACACACACAAACACACACACACACACACACACACACACACAAATGTAACAAAATAAGGTAAAGAAGCAATTGAGGAAGACTCCTAGTGTCAACCCCTGGTGTCCACACAGACACACACAGAAACACAAACACAGAAAGACACACAGACACACACAGAGACACACAGAAATGCAGACACATACACAGACAGACATGCACACAGACAGAGACACACAGATTCACACAGAGTAACACACAGACACAGAAAGACACACAGACATACACACAGACACATACATAGAGACACACACACAGAGTCACAGACATACATACACACATGAACAGGTTGGACACGCCTGACCACGTGGTCCACACATCTGGAATCATCATCCTTGCATGTCTCGGCTGTGGCTCAGGAATGCAGCCCCTGACCCCTTCTCTGCCACAGGCATCTGTGTGGCACACCCATACGAGGTCACTGTCATGCAAGATTTCTTCATCGACCTGCGGCTGCCCTACTCTGTGGTGCGTAATGAGCAGGTGGAGATCCGAGCCGTGCTCTTCAACTACCGCGAGAAGGACAGCCTCAAGGTGGGGGCTAGCCCGAGCAGGGAAGAGCGCCTCCCAACAGCCCTGACTCCTCACTGCTCTCCCCCTGTCCCCCTCCCCCTCCCCCCCTCACAGTTCTTCCCCCCACTGTCCTCACCCCTCCCTGTCCTCATCCCTCCCTGTCCTCACCCCTCACTGCCCTCAAGCTCCCCACTGCCTCCCCTCACCACCCTGGCCCTCCCTCCTGCAGGTGAGGGTGGAGCTGCTCTACAACCCAGCTTTCTGCAGTCTGGCCACCGCCAAGAAGCGCCACTACCAGACCTTGACCATCCCGCCCAAGTCCTCAGTAGCTGTCCCCTACGTCCTCGTCCCCTTGAAGATTGGTGTCCAGGAGGTGGAGGTCAAGGCTGCTGTCTACAACCACTTCATCAGTGACGGTGTGAGGAAGACACTGAAGGTTGTGGTGAGTCCTGGGAACCTTCAGGGAGATGGCCCAGACTCTGAGACCCTGATGGTCCTACAAGCCCCTTAGGGAATGAGATGCTGAAGAAATTTAGATGGGGCTGGGGCTCAGTGGCAGAGAGCTCCCTAGCACACATGAGCCCCTGAGTTCATCCCCAGCACCCCATAAACCAGGCATGGTGGCACACAACTCTCATCCCCGCACTTGAGAGATGGAGGCAGGAGGATCAGGAGTTCAGGATCATCCTTAGCTACATGGATAGTTTGAGGACAACCTGGGTTACACAAGACCCAATCTCATAAAGAAGACTTGTGGGAGAAGAAGGAGGAGCAGGAGGAAGAAGAAGAGGAAGAGGAGGAAAAGGAGGAGGAGGAAGAGGAGGTGTCTAATCTACACAGCAAGTTCCAGGCCAATTAGGACTATATAGTGAGATCCTGTCTCAAAAATATATATTTTTTTAAGTTTTTAAGTAAAAAGAAGGGCTGGGAAAGTGGCTCAGTCAGTAAAATGTTTGCTGCATACACGTGAGGACCTGAGTTTGAATCCACAGCACAGCTGAAGGAACTTGGTGAGCTCCACATTCACTAAGAGACCCTGCGTCAAAAAACAAGGTGGAGGCTGGAGAGCTGGCTCAGCAGTTAAGAGCACTGGCTGCGCTTGCAGAGGACCGGGTTCAGCTCCCAACATCCACATGGCAGCTCATACTGCCTATAATTCCAGTTCCAGGGATCCGACGCCCTCTTCTGTCCTCCATGGGCATTGCACAACATGAATGCACTTACATGCAGGCAAACACTATACATAAATAAAAATAAGTAAAATTGTAAAGAAAATAAGGTGGAGAGCAATAGAGGAAGACACCTGGTGTTGACCGCTCTCCTCCACACACATACATTCGCATGCACACCTGTGCATGGGTGTACACACGAGTGTGAGGTAGGCCCTCCTGTTTAGAAGGGCAGAAACTGGAGCACAGAGAGGTTAAGTAACTGGCTCCCAGTCACACAGGGAGAAGGGATGGAGCCAGCTTTGGATGCTGTGGAAACTGCTCTAGGGTCCTCTCAGGACACTGTCCTGTTGACTGTCTGTGGGTCTGTTTGTCTTTTTTATTCACCCTTCTCCCCAGCCGGAGGGAATGAGAGTCAACAAAACTGTGGCAATCCGTACACTGGACCCAGAGCACCTGGGCCAAGGTGAGGAAAAGGAGGAGAGGGTGGGGTGGGGTCCCTGGCTAGGGAGGGGCACTGCCATCTGCTTCTCTCTCAAAGGTGGAGTCCAGAAAGAGGATGTCCCAGCTGCAGACCTCAGTGATCAAGTGCCAGGCACGGATTCTGAGACCAGAATTCACCTGCAAGGTGAGACCTCCTTGACCCAGCTGTGTGGGGCCAGGCAGAGGTCAGGAGAGGCTGGGGACAGAGTCCAGAGGAGCTCCAATTCGGGGGAAGGGGGTGGGAAGAAGAGGGGAGGGAAAAAGAGAGAGAGAAGGAAAGGGAAGGGACCCTGGACCAGGATGCTTGGATTCAAATCCAAACTACCATTTCAAGCTGATTGACCTGGCACTTATTAGTCACTCAATACCTCCCATGCCTCAGTTTCCCCCTATCAAAATGAGGGCAATGATCTGCCTTGTTGGCTGTACAGATTGACCCTCATACCTCCCTCCCACTTTCTGTGGGAACAGGGCCCATCAGATCTGCCTGCAGGAGCCTCTGGGCCCAGGGTCACAGCAAAATGCTTTTGCTGATAAACATTTAAATGGGAAGCCACAGCCACCAAGGGCTAATAGTGACAGGTACAAGGACAAAGGACAGACAAGAAGGGGTACTGCACCCAAGACCTGAGGGTTTGAGGCCAGCACCTTAGCTACAATAGAGAGCGAGTGACAGTCTAACTCCAAAGGTGGTTGTGGCAGTTTAATGAGATGCTAGAGAACTTGGAGACTAGCAATAACTTTTAGCGGGGCCTAGGTGATCATGTTTACTGCCGTTATTTTAACTATGGGTAACATTAAATACCCAGGGACAAGGGTTCCCCTGTAAAGTACAAGCCTCCCCCCAAGCCACGCAGGGCCTTGTGCAGCCCCTCAGCCATGCATCCCCACTGCTGTGCATCCCCTCAACCAAACATCCCCTCAGAGGTGCAGCCCCACTGCCTTCCTTGCAGCCCCCCTGCTGCCCCACCTCCAGACTGTTCTCTGTTGCTGAGCCCCAGGCTCCCTCTGGTCAGAGGTGAGGATGCTGGGGTCATCCGGCCTGAGCAGGTCCTTCCCTCCATCCCTGGCTGCAGGGACCCCGGTGGCTCAGATGGCAGAGGACGCGGTGGACGGGGAGCGACTGAAGCACCTGATCGTGACGCCGTCAGGCTGTGGGGAGCAGAACATGATCAGCATGACGCCCACAGTCATTGCCGTTCACTACCTGGACCAGACCGAGCAGTGGGAGAAGTTTGGCCTGGAGAAGAGGCAGCAGGCACTGGAGCTCATCAAGAAAGGTGTGCCTGTATGGGGCCTGGCTCTGCCTCGCAGGGACCCGAGGCCCCGTTCCTGCAGCAAAGGCCGCGCCCACTCCCCTCAACTAGAGCCTACACCCCTCCACTAGAGACCACGCCCTCACTGGTGGCCACGCCCATCCACTAGAGCCCACACCCTCCTTGGTGGCCCCACCCCTTCGTTACAGGTCACGTCATTGGTGGCCACACCCCCCACTAGAGGCCAGGCTCCTCTGCTAGATACCACACCCCGCCACTGGAGACCACGCCCCCATTGGTGGCCACACCCCTTCGTTAGAGGCCACGCCCCTCCACCAATAGGCCATGTCCTCCGGTTGAGGCCACGCCCCTCCCATTAGAGCCCATGCCCTCTATTAGAGACTATGTCCTTTAGAGACCACGCCTTCCATTAGAGGCCCCGCCCCTCCACTGAAGCGCCCACCCCTCCTCCAGACCCACTCTCTTCCCTGCCGTTGGTCGTCTGAGACCCCTCACTTCCTGCCTGAGTCCCTGACCTACTCTGGGTCCCTCTCCCCAGAATCTACCTCCCACCTGCCCTGTGCTACCTTCCCCTCTGCACACACCTGCCCCATCCCCATACCATCCAGTGAGACCCAGCCCCATCACACACCCCAACTCTGCACCTCGCCTGCATTCTCACACTCCTGTAACCCTTTTTCCCTCTGTGTTCTTTTAGACCTTTCCCTCCCAGGACCCTGGCTCTCCCCTCTTTGAATCATTGTCCCACCCCACATAGGGGACATCCTTGCCTGGTTTGTCTACCTCGCCCTTCCGGCACCTGCCGCATCCTCACTCAGCTCAGTCCCTACCAGTCCCTTCCTTTAGTGACCCCATACCTTCTGCACAGGGTACACCCAGCAGCTGGCCTTCAAACAGCCCAGCTTCGCCTATGCAGCCTTCAAAAACCGAGCACCCAGCACTTGGTGAGTGCGGATGATCCAGTGGCTTGGCCCAGGATGAGAGGATCAGGCCCCGCCCGTCTCTGCTCTTTGGGTTGGGGTGACAATTTCTGCCCCCCAAAGCCAGCTGGTTCACACGCAGTGTCCACCTGCAGGCTGACAGCCTATGTAGTCAAGGTCTTCTCTCTGGCCACCAACCTCATCGCCATCGACTCCCAGGTCCTGTGTGGGGCTGTTAAATGGCTGATCCTGGAGAAACAGAAGCCGGATGGTGTCTTTCAGGAAGATGGGCCAGTGATTCACCAAGAAATGATTGTAAGAGGCTGGGGGATTTGGGGCAGAGGGAGATAGAGCATCCCAGGAGGGAGGGATAAATATCTCCCCTCATTTGAGCTGCTGCCCAGGTCACTTGGTGGAGGGGGCCCAAGATACAGGGGAAGAAATTTGCAAAATATTGCAGCATTGCAAAAATCAAGAGACAAATATTTATAAGGTGTGTGCCTGTGTGTGCATGTGTGTGCGTGCGTGCGTGCATGCGTGTGTGTGCACGTATACATGTGGAGACCAGAGGTCCACCTTCTTTTGTTTTGTTTTCTGAGACAGGGCCTCACTATGTAGTCCCAGCTGGCCTGGAACACACTATGTAGACTAGCTGACATCAAACACAGAGATCTGGCTGCCTCAGCCTTCTCATTATGCCAGGGACCCCAGCCCAGGGGTCCCCCTGGAATTAGAATAAACACACAATTCAGTTGATTCACACTAGAGACTTTGACCTTCCTGGGGGACGATCAGAGCACCAGGAGGAGACCCGGCCCCAGCCAGATTCCCTGGTACTCAACGGACCCTGCTGGCCACCTGAAGATCCACTTCTTCCGCTCCTCATTGCAGGGTGGCTTCCGGAACACCAAGGAAGCCGACGTGTCCCTCACAGCCTTCGTTCTCATTGCGCTGCAGGAGGCCAGAGAGATCTGCGAGGGACAGGTCAACGTAAGTTCCTCTCCCTTCTCCATCCTGCCCCCCCCACCCCCCTGCCTGGGAGGGGAAGGGAGACCCTAATTTCTTTCTGTGGCAGTTGTAAAACACTCTGACCTCATGGCGGCTACGAACCGTCCCTAACTCCAGTTCCAGGGGAATCCAAAGCCCCCTTCTGACCTCCACAGCATTGCACGACATGGGTGCACTCACATACATGCAGGTACTACACTCATACACATAAAATTAAAAATAATAAATTAAAAAAAAAAAAACTCTGACCAAAAACAACTTAGGGAAGGAAAGGGGTTTGAGTTTCCAGTTCTGGATCCAGCCCATCATGGAAGCTGAGGTAGAAACTCAGAGGCAGGCCTGACAGTTGTTGCACACAGAGGAACTCGTTTCACAAAGCAGCCCAGCAGCAACCATGGAGAGTGCTGCTTGCAAGCCTCTGCCTGCCAGCCTGCTCTCAAGCTGGCCTACACTTGGCTAGCTTTTTTAATTTTTTAAAAATCAATTGATACTTATTTATGTGTATGTGTTTTGCCTGTATGTATGTAGGTGGACCATGTATGTGCAATGCTCACAGAAGAGGACACAGATCCTCTGGAACTGGAGTTATGGGTGATTGTGAGCTGCCATGTGGGTTCTGGGAACTGAACCCAAGTCCTCTGCAAGAGCATCCAGGGCTCTTAACCCCTGGGCCAGCTCCCTAGCCGGATTTGGAACATCTTGTCAACATTTTGTAACTTGAAATTGGCCCCTGAGAGAGTACATACATCACAGTCACCTGTCACTGTTATAGGGTGGAGCTTGCCTATCCTCCACCAAGGAACCGATGGTCACACGCTGTCCAGCACACCCCTGATGTGTAGGTACATGAAAGGATTAAGCAATAGGCATCCTACAAGTGGCTCCAGTGTCTAAGAGACTTAACACTGATCCAAACAGAGGAGAAATATTATTCTAGTGGCCCAGGAGTGATGCTAGAAGTGTCCTGACTGGTGTCTCTCAGTGGTACTGGTAGGGTCCTGACCAGCATCTCTCAGTGGTGCTGGTAGGGTCCTGACTGGTGTCTCTCTCACAGAGCCTTCCTGGTAGCATGACCAAAGCAGGAAAGTACCTTGAAGCTAATTACATGAACCTGCAGAGACCATACACAGTGGCCATTGCTGGGTGTGCCCTGGCCCAGATGGGCAGACTGGAAGAGCCCTATCTCAGCAAGTTTCTGAACACAGCCAAAGGTGAGGAGTCAGTGGTGCGTAGCTGGGGGAGTTCTGGGTCCTGTGGTTTCTAGACTGTGCAAGTTCTAGATCACGTGGTTTTGAGATCATGTGGGTATGTTGAACCTTTATTATAAACCACACGCGAGGCCATTGCATCATTCACCCAACAGTCCACTAGGCATTCGTGTCTGAGGAAGGAGGAGGGTATTGACCGAAGGACACTGAATTAGAGACTGTCCTCACTTCTGTTCCTGTTGCTCTGATAAAATACTCTCTGACGAAAGCAATTCAAGGGAGAAAGTGTTTTTTTTAGCTCACAGCTTGAGGGCAGTTCATCACGGCCGGGGAAGTCAAGGCAGCAGGTGCTGGAAGCAACTGGTCACCTCAGGAAACAGACAAATGAATTCTGGCTGGTGTTCAGCTCACTTTATCTTTTATACAGCCCATGATCCCCTGCCCCAGGGAATAGTCCCACCCACAGTCAAGATGGGCCCTCCTACATCAAGTAACACCTTCAGGACAGTTCCCCACAGGCATGGCCAGAGCATTGTCTCCCAGGTGCTTCCAGATTCTGTCAAGTTGGCCACCAACACTAACCACCCCAGGGATGTTGAGTGTAGCTAAGATGGCCAATACCAGGGAACCCTGTACAGGGCTCTTTTGAGCTCCCTCTGAACCACTCTTGGGCTGGACAGGCAGTGAATGTGGGACTGGGGTGTCCCCTGTGCAGACCGGAACCGCTGGGAAGAAGCTGGCCAGCAGCTATACAATGTGGAGGCCACATCCTATGCCCTCTTGGCCCTGCTGCAGCTGAAGGACTTCGACTCTGTGCCTCCAGTGGTGCGCTGGCTCAATGAGCAGAGATACTACGGTGGTGGCTACGGCTCCACTCAGGCAAGTGGCCCCACCCTGTGCCCCAGCCTGCTTAGCCTGCAACCATTCTCCCTGAGGAGACAGCAAGACCTGGGCCACTCTTCTGTCCAGTGAGTGTAAGGGACCAGAGAGGATCTGAGAAACTAGATCACATTCCTGGTTCTCAGGCCTCCAAAGCCACCCTCTCTGACTGGAGGATTCTAGAACATTGTCCCAGTTCCACCAGGCTCCCACTGTTCCTGTCTGGTGTGTGGGTTCTAGATCGTGTTCCAGGTTACAGAAGGCTTGGAAGAAGGCTCTCACTGGAGGGTTCTAGATCATGTTCTAAGTTTCAGTGGGCTCCCAGTGTGCCCCTCTCATCAGAGATTCTAGATCATCTTTCTAGTTCCACTAGGCCCCCAAGTTTCCATTTCTCACTGGGGGGATTCTAGAATACAGTCCCAGGTCCACCTGGCTCCCAGTGTGCCCCTCTGTCATGGAAGCATTCTGGGTCATGTTTCTAGTTCTGCCAGGCTCCTAATGTCCCCCTCTCTCATGTATGGGTTTGAGATCACCCAATCCCCCAGTGGATTCTAGACCTCAATCCCAGCTCCAAACCAAGGTCTCAGTGCCACCCTTTGTCACTGGCACATTCTAGAACATGTTCTCATGTATACTAGGGCTCAGCCCAAGTGTCTCTTTCTCTAGATTTTTCTAGATTGTGGTTTCAGTAACTTCAGGCTAGGCAAGCACAGATTCTAGTCTGATCTGCCTTTTTTTCAGGGGGCTGTCAGGCTCTTTCCCAGTGTTCATTCTCAGCATCTTGCCAGCTTCCTTTTAGTTGCTATGATAAAAACCTTGGGGAGGTTGGAAAGGGTTTATTTGGCTCACAGCTCACAGCCTGTCCTCAAGGAAAGCCAACTCAGGAGCTCAAGGCAGAGGCTTGAAATGGGAGCCGAAGCAGAGACCATGGAAGAACGCTGCTTGTTTACTGGCTTGCTCAGTTACCTTTCTCTTTTCTTTTTTGGTGTTTTTGAGACAGGGTCTCCCTGTAGCCCCAGCTGGCCTGGAACTCACTATGTAGATCAGGCTGGCCTTGAACTCATAGCGATCCACCTGCCTCCGCCTCCTGAGTGCTGGGATTAAAGGTGTACGCCACCACACCAGGCTCTCAGTTCCCTTTCTTATTTAGCTCAGGATCACCTGCCCAGGCTTGGCACCACCCACTGTGGACTGGACCCTCCTACGTCAATCAGCAATCAAGAAAATGCGTGGCCATAGGCCAGTCTGATGGAGAAAATTCCTCAAATGGGGTTCTCCCTTTTAAAAATATTTTATTCTTTTTTCTTTTCTTTTTTTTTTTTTGTATGAATGTATTCCTCCATGTGTGCAAGTGCACTGGTGGCATGCAATGCGCATAGAGGTCAGAAGAGGGTATCAGATCCCTGGAACTGGAGTCATGGACAGTTGTTAGCCACCTGTGGGCACTGGGAACTGAGCCCGAGTCCTCTACAAAAGCAGCCAATGCTTCTAACCACTGAGCCAGCTCTCCAGCCCCTGGGGTCTCTCTTTCCAGGTGTCTCCAGTTTGTGTCGAGCTGTTAGAAATGATCCAGGTAGAAGCACTTTAGGGTTTGGTGCCTTCACACTTCGATTTTATCCTTTTTTTTTTTTAGAGAATTCTAGACTCATTTCTGGGTTTCTAAGTCCTGGTCAAATACTCCCTCCTCTGGACCACATTTTAAAAGCTCTGGATCTGTAGTCTTATGGTTGGATTTCCTGGTGGATCCTAAACATGCTTTCAGTGTCTCTAAGTCCTGGTCAAAAGCTCTCTCCCTTGGAGAGTTCTCGAACACGTCCTCAGTGTCTCATGACCTGCACTGTTATTCGCACTCCTGTAGGTTCTAGGTCACAGACTTACTGTTGCCAAGTCCTGGTCTGACTTCTCTCAAGCAAAGAGCTCTGAGACCCCACCCCAACTTCTAATTTGATCTCTACTCTCCCTGGCAGGTTCTGGGTACAAATCTGGTGCCGTAATTCTGACCTGAACCTTATCTCCGCAGTGCGTTCTAATCACTTTCCCAGTGGAACCAAAGCTCACCTTCCTTCTGTCTCATGGATTCTAGGCCACTTTCATGGTGTTCCAAGCCTTGGCTCAATACCAAACAGATGTCCCTAGCCACAAAGACTTGAACATGGATGTGTCCCTCCACCTGCCTAGCCGCAACTCCCCAACAACGTTTCGCCTGCTCTGGGAAATTGGCAGCCTCCTGCGGTCAGAAGAGGTACAGATACCCAGCCTTCCTCCCTTCCATCCTCTATATTAGCCATGGGGGGGCAGGGGAGACAGTCACCTGCCTACCAATGGCATCAGAGTCACACAAAGGCGGTGTGTGTCTGTGTGTCTGTGTATATGCACAGGTGTGCATACATATGTGTATACATACATGTGAAGGCCAGAGGACAACCTTGGGTGTCCTCCCTCAGCTGCCGTCTACCTTGTTTTTGTTTTTGAGATGGTCTCCCTGTGGCCTGGAACTTACTGTGTAGCCCAGACTGACCTCAGTCTCAGAGGCCCACCTGCTTCTGCCTTAAAGGTGTGCACCACCACACCTGCCTTCCACCTTGTGTTTATTTATTTTATGAGTGTTTTGCCTACATGTATGTAGTGCACCCATATCATAAAATACTCACAGAGACCAGAAGAGGGCATCAGATCCCCTAGAACTGGAGTTATAGTTGATTGTTGGCCACCATGTAAGTGCTGGGAACCAAACCCAGTTCCTCTACAGGAGCAGCCAGTGCTTTTAACCACTGAGCCGTCTCTCCAGCCCCATCAGCTACCTTTTTTTATGCAACCCAAGCCTTTCTACCTACACAGGCTGGCACTGCCCACAATAGGTTGGGCCTTCCCCCATCAACTAGCAATTAAGACAGTGCCTTGGGGTTGGAGGCAGGGCAGGTGGATTTCTGTGAGATCAAGGCTAGCCTAGTCTATATAGCAAGTTCCAGGCCAACTGGGGCCTGTCTCAAAAAGACCAAAAAGAAAACACACACACACACACACACACACACACACACTAAATAAATAAATAAATAAATAAATAAATAAATAAATAAATAAATAAATAATAAACAAAATGCTGCATAGACACGGACAGAGCAGTCTGATCTGGAAATTTTTCCATTAATGTTCCCTCTTACCTACGTGACTCTAGGTTTGTGTTTGTGTTGTTGACAGTAGCAACTTACCTGCACAAAAGGCAAGCACTTTATTAACTGAGCAACCCCCTTGGTCCTGGAGCCAGCTCTTAACACCCTCTTCTCTCTCTCCTCACCTATACAGACCAAGTATAATGAAGGCTTCTCACTGACGGCCAAAGGAAAGGGCCAAGGGACAATGTCGGTAAGGGCAGAGGACCAACTTCCACCTCACCCACCTTCCTGTCCCTCCTCAGCCATCCCAAGTCTGCCCTGGAACTCTGTCTCCCCTTCCCTCTCTCTAGGTGGTGACAGTGTATCAGGCCAAGGTCAAGGGCAAAGTTGCCTGCAAGAAATTTGACCTCAGGGTCATCCTAAGACCTGCCCCTGAAACAGGTAAAATAAAGAACCTTCTATCATGCATCAACCCTCCTCCTGTCCTATCACCCACCTCCTCCTGCATCAGGCCCCTGGGGCAGCTTCTCACAATGTTCTGTTTCTTGTGTTTGTAGTCAAGAAGCCCCAGGATGCCAAGAGAAGCATGATTCTAGACATCTGCACCAGGTGAGCCTCTGGCTCCCCCCTCAGCAACAGTTATTCATTGCGCTGCTCTTTATTGTTTGTTTGATTGTTTTTCCTTTTTTAGACAGGGTCTTCCTGTAGCCCAGGCTGGCCTGGAACTGTCTCTATAGACCAGGCTGGCCTCAAACTCAGAGATCCACCTGTCTCAGTCTCCTAGTGCTGGGATGGCAGGTGTGCGCCACTGTGCCAAGCTGCGTCTCCTTCTCTTGCCCCTGGGAGATATTCTCCGAAATCAAACATTCCTCTGTGATGCCCAATGGAATCAGAAGCCTGAGTTCCTGATCAGACCCCCTCATTCAGGCACCAACCCTGGGTGCCCACCTGTCTTGAAACCCGACGTCCTTTCTTCTTCTTCCCTGTGCAGGTACCTGGGAGATGTGGATGCCACAATGTCCATCCTGGACATCTCCATGATGACAGGGTTCATTCCTGACACAAATGACCTGGAACTGGTAGGAAGGACTTGGGGCTGGGACTTTGGGAAGGAGCCTTTGGGAAGAGGCTCGGGGGAGAGGTGGGAGATTTTCACAAGTGCCGCTATTCTCCAGCTGAACACCGGTGTAGACAGATACATCTCCAAATATGAGATGAACAAGGCCTTTGCCGACAACAAGAACACGCTCATCATCTACCTGGACAAGGTGAGACGCAGCCTGCAGAGCAGTCCGTGGCGCCCCTCGTCTTTGCTCTCTGCACTTCCTTCTTTCTCTGTCTCCTCTCAGATCAGGCTTGGGAAGACAAGTCTGTGCTGGGGGGGTAGCTATGAGGATCAATAAAGACACGTGTATATCTCATTCCAGTATATTCCACATGGAACTGGGAACGTTGGTACACACCTGTAGTCTCAGCTACCTCAGAAGCTGAAACAAAGATCTCTTGAGGCCAGGAGTGTTATTTATTTCTAATTTTATGCATATGAGTGTCTTGCCTGCGTGTGTATAAGTGCACCCATAACATGCAATGCCTGAGGAGATGAGAAGAGGGCATCGGATCCTCTGGAACTGAAGTTATATCCAGTTCTTAGCTGCCAAGTGGGTGCTGGGAGCCAAATCCAGGTCCATTGCAAGAGCAGCCAGTGCTCTGAACTGCTGAGCCGTCTCTCTAGCCCCTCCATCTTATCTTTTGAGACAGGGTCTCTTACTGAACCAGAAGTTCATCACTTTGGCTGGACTGGCTGACCATCGTTATAGTAAAATACCAGAGGTTTCCTGATTTATAAAGAAGAGAAGTTTCTTTAGCTCAGAGTTTTAGAAAATAAAAGCCCAAGACTGGTTGATCTCAACTGTTTAGTGTTGAGTGAGAACCTTTTGACGTAATGACAGGAGAGCCAAGAGCAAGTTCAGAAAACTGGACTTATAGCAAACCAACATTACAATAACCAGTCTGTTCCCAGGAGACCTGATCCACTCCTCCAAGACAGGCATTAATCCCTTTCAAGGTGGTCCCTTGTGACCTAAGTATCTCCCTTTGAGGCTCTCCACTTAATAGAAGATAAACCACATTCCCACCACAGCAACTTGCTAGTGGGAGCTCAGTCGCCTGGATGCCTCTAATACTGAAGGGGGTGGGGGCTGGAAAACAGTCTAGCTCTAAGCTGAGAGGGCTGTAAATGTGCGGACCTGCTCATTCATCTTACCACCATCTAGAACATTTCTTGGTCCTCAGTTTCTCCAGTATGGATCCAAATGCCAGGACCTTAATCCAGGGCTTCCTCTGTGACAGCTGCTGACCAGCTCCCCCTCTCTCCTTAGATCTCACACTCCCAGGAAGATTGCCTGTCCTTCAAAGTTCACCAGTTCTTTAATGTGGGCCTCATCCAGCCGGGGTCGGTCAAGGTCTATTCCTATTACAATCTGGGTGAGTGGCTGACCCAGACCAGGAGGATTGGAGATCTCTGTGTGTTGGGGACCTAGAGCCTCAAGGGTCTGACAGACCCACAGGTCAGAAAGTTAGGAGTCTCAGAGATTCCTAACTTGAAGTTCTGAGAGTCTCTGGAATCTGCGAGTTGGGAGACTAAGGGTCTAAGGATTTACGTGGTTTGGGGGGCTGTGAAGGTCCTAGAGATCTAGAAGATGTGGAGGTCTGAGGGTCCCAGGGATCTGAGGTTGGGGATCTGAAGTTTCTGTGGATCTGGAAGTTGGGGTCCAAAGTTTCGATGGATCTGAAAGTTGGGGGTCCAATATTCCTGGTTATGTAGGTGTTGGGTACTGAGAATTCTAGGCATCTGAGAGTTGTGGGTCTGAGTTTTCTATAGGCTTGTAACTTTGGGGTTTGAAGACACCAGAGCCCGAGGGTCCCCTAAAATCAGAAAGTCCAGAATCTGAAGGCCACTGGAATCTACAGTTGGGGATCTAGCAACTCAGGGCTGAGGACTCCCTCACTGAGCATCTGAGCCTGCCAGGCACAGTCTCTGAGATGGAGTCCATGACCATCTGACCTCTTCCCATCCCTTCTACCCACAGAGGAATCATGCACCCGTTTCTATCACCCCGACAAAGAGGACGGCATGCTGAGCAAACTCTGCCACAAAGAAATGTGTCGCTGCGCCGAGGGTGGGTGCCTGGGAGCAAGTGGGGGGCTGGATCTGGGCAAGACACACCTTGCCCAGGCTCCCCAACCCATGGGGAGGGATGGCTTTAAAGCCAACACCCAGTGGGCACCAAGCAGGGTAGGTCCTCAGGACCAGCCACATTCACAGATAGTGAGCCCTGGAGGGGAGTGGAACTCAGCCTGTTTGCACCCTGCCCTGCAGAGAACTGCTTCATGCATCATTCCGATGAAAAAGTCACCCCGAATGGCCGGCTGGACAAGGCTTGTGAGCCCGGAGTGGACTACGGTGAGTGTGCCCATGAGTGACAGCAGGTGGTTATGTCAGACTGTGAGATGTGAGGGGTGGATATGATGACCTGTGACCAACTGGGAGCGGCAACGGCCGTGCCTGTGCTGTGGAGGACTGGTGAGGCGGCACGCACAAATGTGTCAGAAGGGCTATAGTTTGGGAGAGGGGATGTTGAGTGATTTTCCAAATAATTACCTAAATAGGACACTGATGACAGATCAAAGAAACAATTATACCTTAGTGAATCAATGAGTTTATTGGGGTGACTCACAGAGGGTGGGTGAGGGGTGACTCACAGGAGTGTGATGAGTGTGGTGAGGGGTGACTCACAGGAGTGTGCTGAGTGTGGTGAGGGGTGACTCACAGGAGTGTGCTGAGGGGGGACTCACAGGAGTGTGCTGAGGGGGGACTCACAGGAGTGTGCTGAGGGGGGACTCACAGGAGTGTGCTGAGGGGGGACTCACAGGAGTGTGCTGAGGGGGGACTCACAGGAGTGTGCTGAGGGGGGACTCACAGGAGTGTGCTGAGGGGGGACTCACAGGAGTGTGCTGAGGGGGGACTCACAGGAGTGTGCTGAGGGGGGACTCACAGGAGTGTGCTGAGGGGGGACTCACAGGAGTGTGCTGAGGGGGGACTCACAGGAGTGTGCTGAGGGGGGACTCACAGGAGTGTGCTGAGGGGGGACTCACAGGAGTGTGCTGAGGGGGGACTCACAGGAGTGTGCTGAGGGGGGACTCACAGGAGTGTGCTGAGGGGGGACTCACAGGAGTGTGCTGAGGGGGGACTCACAGGAGTGTGCTGAGGGGGGACTCACAGGAGTGTGCTGAGGGGGGACTCACAGGAGTGTGCTGAGGGGGGACTCACAGGAGTGTGCTGAGGGGGGACTCACAGGAGTGTGCTGAGGGGGGACTCACAGGAGTGTGCTGAGGGGGGACTCACAGGAGTGTGCTGAGGGGGGACTCACAGGAGTGTGCTGAGGGGGGACTCACAGGAGTGTGCTGAGGGGGGACTCACAGGAGTGTGCTGAGGGGGGACTCACAGGAGTGTGCTGAGGGGGGACTCACAGGAGTGTGCTGAGGGGGGACTCACAGGAGTGTGCTGAGGGGGGACTCACAGGAGTGTGCTGAGGGGGGACTCACAGGAGTGTGCTGAGGGGGGACTCACAGGAGTGTGCTGAGGGGGGACTCACAGGAGTGTGCTGAGGGGGGACTCACAGGAGTGTGCTGAGGGGGGACTCACAGGAGTGTGCTGAGGGGGGACTCACAGGAGTGTGCTGAGGGGGGACTCACAGGAGTGTGCTGAGGGGGGACTCACAGGAGTGTGCTGAGGGGGGACTCACAGGAGTGTGCTGAGGGGTGACTCACAGGAGTGTGCTGAGGGGTGGCTCACAGGAGTGTGCTGAGGGGTGACTCATAGGAGTGTGATGAGTGTGCTGAGGGGTGACTCACAGGAGTGTGCTGAGTGTGCTGAGGGGTGACTCACAGGAGTGTGATGAGTGTGGTGAGGGGTGGCTCACAGGAGTGTGCTGAGTGTGCTGAGGGGTGAATCACAGGAGTGTGATGAGTGTGGTGAGGGGTGACTCACAGGAGTGTGCTGAGGGGTGATTCACAGGACTGTGGTGACGGTGAGTTGCAGAAGGATGAGGCCTTGTGAGTCTTACAAGTCTCCGGAATTGTAAGTTTTGTTTACTTCCTGACTGTTCTAGCTTGGTTTCTGTGACTGTGCTAAAACCCTCTGACCTAAATCAAGTTAAGGGAGGAGAGGGCTTATCTGGCTTACCCTTCCAGGTCAAGGGCCAGCACTGAGAGAACTCAGGGCAGAAACTCAACAGGAACTTGAGTGCTTGCTGGCTGACTCTCAGACCCATGCTCAGCTAGCTTTTTAAAGTGACTAAATTTTTATTATATATGTATGAGCATTTTTCCTACTCGTATGTAAGTGTGCCATGTTGTTGCGGGTTCTCCTCAGGCCAGCTGTGAAGACCCTTACCTGGATCGGGTCCCCTGCCGATTGGGGGGGCAAGAGGCACGGAGTCACAACACAGACACCGGGAGTTGGGTAGAAGCAAGCACTAGGCGAGGTGCTGCAGGCTCGTTTAATGCAGGAGGGGGCATGCCTTATATTTCCCTTTTCTCCACCCCCAAGTTCCTTTAGTCAGTGTATCATTTTCTGATTGGTCCGTGCCACGCAGTCCGTCAGCAGTCACTGGGCTCGCGAGCAGGGTACAGAGGCGTGGGCTCCTTTTGGCAGACTATTTGTGGACCAAGAAGTGAAGTGAATTCTCGCTGAGTCCCAGGGCTCTGGGTCCACGCCATCTTTGGAGGCCTCCTGCTACATTTCCACCCTTTTTCTTTAAAAAGGACTGTCCAGCGAGAGCCTGTAGGCAGCTCTGTCTCAGGATGACCCCAGGATCATGGACTGTACCTGTCTTAGGTTGTCCTATTCGGGCATGAACCTTACCCATCATTGGAGCATGGAGCATGGGCGTACACGTCCATGTCCTGGCTTAGGTTGATTCAGCCCAACAGGAGCTTACCCATCGTTGACTACCAGTCCTCCAAGGGGTATCGTCCCAGGGGATCAGTCGTGGTGGGGAATTATCTGTAGGAAGCCTCGTACATTTGTGCAAGCCAAGTCTGTCGGGCTGCATAGGGTGGGTTGAAATCATCTTTGTGTACTGCTCTGAGGGCCTGATACACTGAGTGACTGAATTTTTTCTGACTGTGGGAATGAAGAACAAGGCATTTAAGAAGTAGAAAGAGAAGAATAATTATGCCTGTCAGTAAATGACGATCCAAGACAGGTCAAAGAGTGCTTTTAGATTAGAGGCACTTCCGGCATAATCTTGGACAGTCAGGTTGAACAGCCCAATGCATGAGGATGCATTGTTAGTAGTGAAGCACATAGAGTTATTTAGGGGCCAGGAGCCATTGAGTGCTTCCCAGGAAGTAACTGGTTCCATGGTGGGGAGGCCAAGCATAGAATTAGTTGAATAGAAGGTGGGATAGGCTGGGGAATGAAGCAATGAGGGCAAGAGTATAGGTGGGGAGGGGACCAAGGCCCAGAGATCATGGGCCGTAGCAAGGGCAGGGAAGAGCAAACCAATTATCTAGATAGCAGCAAGGTCTCTGGGTCCTGGGGGTCCCATTAGTCAGTTGCTTGTCTCACATCTCTCACTGGAACCCATACTGGCTTTGTTTCTGTCTGAGAAAACATACAAGCATAGCCACACTCTCTTGTTAACAAGGGGGCGGGTGATTGCCATTGACATGTTAAGGGGTCCTTCCATCTCACTAGTGGCAGGGGTGTAGGATGGGGATTGGCGCGGGGGCCAAGATTGGAGTCGATCCTGGGCAGTCAGTGGCCATTAGGATTGGGAGTGTTGGGCAAGGTGTTGTCCTTTCCCTGATAGTCCCAAGTTATCGTGGAGCATAATATCATCATAAAAGGCATGGTCATCCATGGTAAGGAACACGCCCATGTCCTCTAGGACGTCTGGGCCCCATATGTTATGGGGAACATCCACTACTATGGGGGTAACTGTGCCCTGGTTCCCATCCAAGTTCTTCCAATATACTGGATGTGTGACCAGCTTGGTACCTTGTGTGTCGCCAACTTTTATTGGTGGGCCTGGCTGGTATTTCCAATGAGGGAATTTAAAGGATTCAGTTTCTGATATAATGGTGACATCAGCCCCTGTGTCTACTAGGCCCTTTATGGCAGTTCCATCTAGGAACAGGGTCATTAGTGGGGAGTGGTTGAGGATTGGGAGAGTCCATAATATCTGTCTCTGTTCCTCTCTTGTGGGCGGGGCTGAGGGACACCCCATGTGGAGTTTAAAGGAGCCAAGTCCGGTTGAGACTGTGACCTACAGTCTTTAGCCCAATGGATGCTTTTTTGCACTTGGGGCAGCGAGTCTTGGGGCAGGTTGTACCTCTTGGGCAGTGGCTAGGAAAGTGGCCAAGCCCCCCACAGTTCCAGGAGCCTTCCCATGTGCCAAAGTGGGCGGGTTTTCCTTGCAACAAAAGAGTCTCCAAGGAGACGGTCAGAGCCTCAATAGAGCCCACCTGGGGTCTGAGTCTCTAGTAGAGAGTACCCATTTGTGAATGTTATCATTGCGGGCAGGCGTGATAGCATTACGAGTAGGGATATTTAGTTCCTCCCAAGTTAACTGTTTGATAAGCACCTCTCGGGTGGGTCCAGACTCCACCCTCCACTCTACTGCCTTGGTGACATAGGTAAGGAAGTCTGTGAAGGACTCCCCTGACTGTTGAATCCAATTACAGAAAAAGACTTGTGGATCACTGGAGGGGGGGGGCAACATTTAAAGGCCTTAAAGGCCAAGTCAAAAACTTGTTTAAAATAGGCATGGAGGCCAATAGTAGACTGGGAGATGGGGTCAGTATATTGTCTGTGTCCCATGAGCATGTCCAACGTAATCTTGAGGCCATATTGGAGATTTAGGCATGTCTGGTTTTCAACCTGATCGTCATAGCCTGTGCGCCAGTTTAGAAAGACTGAGGGTTCTAGGACTGCCTTTAGTAAGTTATACCAATCATAGTAGATTTGTAACTGTAAGGACCACAGGCGAAGAACCTGCTCGAAATATGGGGAGTCAGGGCCCGATTGCTCTGCTGCCTTGTGGATAAGAACAAGGTCAGCAAGTGGGGTGGGCAGCCATGGATGCTGTGCCGCATCGGGGCCAATGTTAACCAGAAATGTGGACAAAGGTGGGTGAGGGTTTAAGGAGGGCAGTCTAGGAGGGAGGGGCATGGTAGCAGGGGAAGGGGCGGGATGATTATGGGGGGAGAGAGTAACTCCTTCCACGGGTAATGGGGCAGGGAATTTCTGGGCATGGTAGCTCTAGGAGAGTATCCTGAGATATAGGCAAAGGAGCTCCTTCCTTATTGGAAGTGGGCGCAGAGGCTGCGTCCACCTCTGGGTCTGGGTGTCTGGGAGGTCTGGGTTCGAGGTAATAGCCAGATCTACACTAGATTGCTCCTGGCAGTGTTTGTTGTGGGCCAAGATGACTTCCCCAGGAGAGGAGGATCGGTACGAATGATACGGGGGGAGTGATCCCTGACCCAACCTCCCTTTTTTGGGCCAGGAAGAGGACCCGCATCCACGTGTCAGGGTCCCACATGTTTTCAGGGGAGACCCACGGGGCCAAATTTGTGGTTTCATCCCAAAAGTGTTCGATATCTTTTGGTCTCACTTTCAACCCTCTGGTTTTAAGGAGCACCTTGAGTGCTGCCGTTTGTGGCTCCCTGCATTGTGGTGGTAAATTGCCCATTGTGGGAGGGTCTCGTGAAGGGGAATTTGCCACAAAGTAGAAGATGAGGGTGACTACCAAGAGGGCACAAAGGAAGCAAAGAAGCACTGTGAGCCATTCAGATGTAAACCACCTTGACATGTAAAGGTGTATCGGATCCAAATGTTTTGTGCTCAGTGAGGGACTTCTGGAGGCCATGACACCTCCAGCCATATGCTCACACGGTGTCTCCGGGACAGGCAACAGGGTGACCCAAAGCCTGGGCTCTGAGTTCGGGGTGGATCAGCCCTTATGTGAACTCACTAGGATGAGCCAAGAGGGGGGAGGTGCCGACGTGGGCTTCAGGACCACGTGGCGGAGTGTGCCTCCCTGATCTAACAAACTAGTCCAACAATAAAGACGACAGACAGGGTGGAGAGGACAGAGGAGGGGGCTACTTGCTTACCCTCAAGCAGCCAAAGAAGCAGACAAATCCAGGAGCCTACTTACCAAAAGAACCAAGGTTCTGGGTGTCATCAATACCGTGGGCAGGGGTCCCTGTTCAGGCACCAGGTGTTGTGGGTTCTCCTCAGGCCAGCTGTGAAGACCCTGACCTGGATCGGGTCCCCCGCCGACTGGGGGGGCAAGAAGCACGGAGTCATGACACAGACACCGGGAGTTGGTTAGAAGCAAGCACTAGGCGAGGTGCTGCAGGCTCATTTAATGCAGGAGGGGGCAGGACTTATATTTCCCTTTTCTCTGCCCCCAAGTCCCTTTAGTCAGCGTATCATTTTCTGATTGGTCCATGCCACACAGTCTGTCATCAGTCACTGGGCCCGCGAGCAGGGTATGGAGGCGTGGGCTCCTTTTGGCGTACTATTTGCGGACCAAGAAGTGAAGTGAATTCTCACTGAATCCCAGGGCTCTGCGTCCACGCCATCTTTGGATGCCTCCTGCTACACCATGTGGTTGTATAAGACCACCATGCTGGCTGGAGAGCTGACTCAGTGGTTAAGAGCACTGGCTGCTCTTGCAGAGGACCCAGGTTCAGTTCCCAGCACTCATGTGGCAACTAACAACCACCTATAACTCCAGTTCCAAGGGATCCAGTGCCCTCTTCTGATCTATGTAGGCACATGCATGCACATGGTGTAATTATATACATGCAGGCAAAACACTCATACACATAAAAATAAGTAAATAATAAATGACTCAGAAAGACTGAATGGGGGTCACCATGCCATGACTGGAGTCCTTGAGTCCATGGCAACTTGTGGGTGGCTGTAACTGGGCACTGCACTTGCTGAGGAAGTTGCCAGTACTCAGCCCTGCTCACGCCCCTCAATGTCCATACCCCCAACCCCCACAGTGTACAAGACCAGACTAGTGGATGTTGATCTGTCAGATGACTTCGATGAGTACGTGATGAACATCCAGCAAGTCATCAAATCAGGTAGCCTGGCTCTCCATCCTCCCTCTGCCCTGATCCTCCTCCCCCACACCCTGTACCACAGCTCAGCCTCCATGTCCTCTCCTCTGCAGGTTCCGATGAGGTGCAGGTGGGGCAGGAGCGCAGGTTCATCAGCCACATCAAGTGCAGAGATGCCCTGAAACTGCAGAAAGGGAAGCAATACCTTATGTGGGGCCTGTCCTCCGACCTCTGGGGAGAAAAACCCAAGTGAGTGCCCACCCTGTGTGCACCTGTGCCTGCGGCAGCCCTTCTAACCTTGTCCACATCCTCAGTGGTCCTCACCTGCTCTCCCACCTCTAACCCAGCCCACCACCCCTCCTGGCCTCACCTGCTCTCTACTGCCCCCCCCCCCCAGCACCAGCTACATCATTGGAAAGGACACTTGGGTGGAACTCTGGCCCGAAGCAGAAGAGTGCCAGGATGAGGAGAACCAGAAACAGTGCCAGGACCTGGGAGACTTCACAGAGTCCATGGTGGTGTTTGGCTGCCCCAACTAACCACATCCCTGCCCCTGCAATAAAGCCACAGTTATGTCTCACCTGCTTCCTGATGTCTGGAGTTTGTGTAGGGTGTGTGTGTGTGTGTGCGTGTGTTCCTACTGGGGTGCATATATACACATGTGTGTGCACATGCGTGTGGAAACCAGAATCAACCTTGGGCATCCCTCCTCAGGACACTGCATACCTTGTATTTTTTTTAACAAATGTTTTATTTATTTATATTTTAAAATATTTTATTTTTTATAATACTTTAGAAATATTTTTTATTATTTTTATTTTTATGTGTATGAGTGTATTGCCTGCATGTATGTGAGTGCACTCGTGTCATACAATGCCTCAGAGGTCAGAAGAGGGCTTCAGATTCCCCTGGAACTGGAGTTAAGGATGGCTCATAGCCACCATGTGGGTGCTGGGAATCAAACCCAGATCCTCTGCAAGAGCAGTCAGTGCTCTTAACTGCTGAGCCATCTCTCCGGCCACCATATTTTATTTTTTTATTTTATGTATATGAGTGTATTGCCTGCATGCATGTAAGTGTACCCATGTCATGCAGTGCCCTCAGAGGACAGAAGAGAGCTCAGAGCCCCTGTAACTGGAGTTACAAATGGTTGTTAGCCACCATGTGGTTGCTAAGATTTGAACCTGGGTCCTCTGGAAGAGCATTCAGTGCTCTTAATCATTGGGTCATCTCTCCAGCCCCCACCTTGTATTTTTTAAAAGATTTTATGTATTTTGCTGGGCATGCTGGCATACACCTTTAATCCCAGCACTTAGGAGGCAGAGGCAGGTAGATCTCTATGAGATTGAGACCAGCCTGATCTTCATAGCAAGTTCCAGGCCACCTGGGGCTACAGGGAGACCCTGTCTCAAAAAACAACTAAGCCCAAAAGGTTATATTTATTATTATAGTTTATTTTTAAATATTTAAACATTTATTTGTGTGAATTTATATGCACCAGGTGAGTGTAGTTGCCTAAAGAGGCCATAAGAGGGTGTCAGATCCTCTGGAACTGGAGTTATGGACCGTTGTTGGCCACCATATGGGTGCTGGGAATTGAACCTGGGTCCTCTTTAAGAGAAGCCAGTGCTCTTAACCACTGTGCCAGCTCTCCAGCCTTGTATTTTTTTTAAAGACTTGTTTTTAATTCATTCTCTCTCTCTCTCTCTCTCTCTCTCTCTCTCTCTCTCTGTGTGTGTGTGTGTGTGTGTGTGTGTACATGTAGGTGTGTGCAGGTGCCCATGAAAGCCAGAGGCATCAGATCCCTGCAGAGTTAGAGATGGTTGTTAACCTGACTGATGTGGATGCTGGGAACCAAACGAATCTTCTCCAAGAGCAGCAAGCTCTCTTAACTGCTGAGTCGCCTCCCCAGCCCCTGTACTTCTATTCATTTATTTATTTATTTATTTATTTATTTATTTATTTATTTGAGAGAGAGAGAGCTGCAGTCACAGGCAGTTATGAGCCTCGTGGCATGGGTGCTGGAACCAGACGCAGGTCCTCTTCAAGATCCATACGGGTGTTCTTAACTGCTGAGTCATCTCTCTGGCCCCAGGCACCTTATTTTTTTGAGGTAGGGACTCTCACTGAGCCTGGGGCTCACAGATTCTGCTAGACTGACTGGCAGTGAACCCTGGGGACCCTCCTGTCTCTGCCTCCCCAGTGCTGGGATGACAGGCCTGCACCACCACACCCAGTTGTTTTATGTGGGCTCTGGATCAGAATCTGGCTCTCCCACTTGTACAACGGGAGCCTGACTGATGGAGCCATCTTCAAGGCATCCATGACCTCCCTCCTGTCTGAATCCTCAGCTGTCTCCACTGCATCGGCTGCTTCTGGGTTGCTTTCTCTTGGTGGAAACAGTCCCTTGTAGAAATAGGGGCAAGGCTCATGAGCCTCACAACACTCACAGGGCTCAGGAAACTTAATAAAACTCATGTGGCCCCTTTCCAAGGAGATGTAAGAATTAAACAATAGCCAGGGACGAGCAAGCTGACTCCAAAGGTAAGGGTGTTTGCCACCAAGCCTGATGACCTGAGTTTAATCCCTGGGACCACATGGTGAAGGAAAAGAACCAACTCCAGCAAGTTGTCCTTCGACTTTACATGTGTGCTGTAGTATATGCATGTATGTACACACACATACAGAGAGAGAAATAAATGAATAAGTATAACCATTTTTAATACTTAAATTTTTTTTCTCTTTTGTATTTGCATGTTTATAAGTGCATCATATGTATGCAATGCCTGCAGAGGTTAGAAGAGGGCATCAAGATCACCTAGAACTGGAGTTACAAATGTTTGTTAGCCACCACGTGGGTTCTAGGAACCAAACCCAGGTCTTCTGCAACAGCAGCCCGTGCTCTTAATTGCTGAGCATCTCTCCAGCCTCAATTCCCACTTTTCAAACACGCCATGTAACTAGGCACAGCCTGTGGGTGCAAGGTCACCTTTGATGTAATAGTTGGGAAGATCATCGATTTAAATGTGCATATAACTGCAACCATGTCAGTCAGCTTTTCGTTACTCTAACAAATAACATCAATTTGGGTTTCGGGTTTCGGTTGGCCCTGTTGTTTTGAGTCTGTGGGGCATATCAGGGCAAGAGTACCTGTGGGAAAACAACACCAAAAGTCAGTCGTGGACTGGCTGGGAAGTGAGACAGAAAGGGACCAAGTTGTGTCCTTTGAAGCCTGGCTCACCAGTGACCTGCCAATATGCCCTGCTCGGTTTTTGTTTTTTTCTAATTATATGTTTTACTTATTCTTCAAGAATTCCATACATGTATATAATGTGCTTTGATCATATTCACCCCCACTCCTCCCTCTAACTCCTCCCGGATCCACCCACTAACCACCTAACCACCCAGCTTCCTGTCCTCTTTAATGCATTGACTCCACTTTATGCTGTCCGTATGCTCGTGGGTGTGGGGCGTCCACTGGAGCATGGTCAACCAACCAGGGGCCACGCCCTTAAAGAACACTGTCCCTCCCCTGGCAGCCATCACCTGGCCATAGCTCCTCAGTCAGGTGTTGGGGCTCCTGAACCGCTTCCCCTTCCATGCTGGAATGCTGACTGACTTGATCTTGGGTAGACAGTCACAGCTGCTGTGAGTTTATGAGTGCGGCCATCTTGTCATATCCAGAAGATACTCCTATAATCTTTCTGTCCACTCTGCTCCGTGGTCCCTGAACCTTGGTGGAGGGTGGTCTGATGTAGATTATTTGTGGCTGTGTGCTGCACAGACACTTACTCCCTCTCCTTTGGCCAGTTCAGACTTCCTGTTCACCACAAAGCAACTTCTCTGTTAAGATCTGAGAGCTGCAAATTCAGAGAACAGTTTGGAGTTACAAATTCAGAGGACAGTTTGATACTGTGTTCATTTAGCAAAATAATAGTACTCCCAGCACTCGGAGGGCAGCGGCAGGCAGATCGAGGCCAGCCTGGTCTACATGGGGAGTTCCAGGCCAGATGGAGCTACAGGGAGATCCTGTGTAAAAGAAAAATAGTAGTAGGTTTACCCCTGGGGCCTATGAGCTCCCCAACCATGAGTTCTTGGCCAAATTTACAGTAATACCCATGTGTTTCCTCCTGTGGCGTGGGTCTTAAATCCAATCAGAAGGCAGTTGGTTACCCTACAACACTGGCCACTGTTGCACCTGTGGGCACAGCTTGCCAGGCTGCTCATGACTGCAGTTCACGGAGTTCACAGCTGAGTGAGAATATTGAAGACTTTCCTCACTCAGCAGCCTGCGTAGAACCTTCCAGTCCCGTGAGAGCTATCCAGTGAGGAGGAAACATCCTGGTCAATACCACCTTGATTTCTCCACATTCTATGACCAAGTGGGTGGTGTCTTTAGCAATAGGGTCTTTACATCAGATTCTGGTGGCAGCCAAGTACAATGGCAACAGCCTGTATCGCGTAGGTGTCTCTGGGAGCCCCCATCCCACACTTGGCACTGAATCAACCACACCTCTTAAAGCTTCCAAGCACCTCTCAGTATTGTGAAAGCCAAGCCTTTTAACACAGGGCTCTTCTGGGGAACATGTATCCAAAGCGAAGCAACACCTATGCTTACATAAGGAACAGCTACTAAAGGGTCTAGAGATCTGGCTTAGCAGTTGAGAGCACTGCCTGCTCTTGTAGAGGACCTGGGTTTGGTTCCCAGCACCCACATGGCAGCTAACAACCATCCGTAACTCCAGTTCCAGGGGATCTGACACGCTTTTCTGGCCTCTGGGGGTACTGAACATATGTGGTGCCCTTACATACAGACAGACAATACACTCATGCACATAAAATTAAAAGAAGAAAGGAAGGAAGAAAGGGAAGAAGGAAGGGAGGGAGAGAGGAGAGCTACTAGAGATGAAAGAGCTCACTGCAGTCCAGCTGCTCCAAGGTTTGACTCATTTCATCTAACAGTAACCAGGGTCGTTTACCATGTTTTCTTCATCTTGCTATGTAGATGGGTTAACTGAGGCTGAGATTTCAGAGTCATCCAACTGGGAAGTGACAGAACAGGGATTTGAACTCAGACCATCTGGCCCCAGTGTGTAAGAGGCATCTGATTTCCCTGTGACACCAATTTCCCTGCAATGACCCGTCTCATGTTTGAACACAACTATGTTGCACAGGGAGATCCAGCACCATCTTATGAAATAGTTTCACAGTCATTATTTTTGGGGGTCTTGATAAGAAGTGAAGTAGAGAGAGGTGGCTCTGTAGCGGGGAGACAGAGGCCCTGGGGATGAAAGGATGGTGGAGTCTCCGAAAGGGAGGAGGAAACTCACTAGATAAACTTCTCAGAGATAGAAAAGTTGATTAGTGGCTGGGACCAGGGGCTCCCTGCCTTTCCAGCCCACCCTCCCAGGCGTCCCTCGTGCCCCTTTCCATCTGCCTTCCCTGCCCCTCCCATCCTTCTTCAATCCTCTCCCTCCTCTTCCCTGGCTCCTCTCTTTGCTCATCTTTGCACCCATCCTCACCCACCTCCTCCTCTTCTTTCTCTCTCTCCCCTCAAGGCTGCAAACTTTCTTCTAGAAAGATTTTTTTTTTTTTTGACAGGACGGAAGTTGCTGGCTGCTGGTGGCTTTTTATAAATTCACTGTCCCCACACCTTGGTCTCATCAAAGCCACGGAAACAGAGTGACTGGATGAGTGCAAAGGAAACTCCAGTGGGGCCAAGGCCGGGTATTTGGGGGCCTTTCCACCTCCCACCAGCCCAGCAAGGATGGGAAGAGGGAACATCTTGAACTCACCATAAGCTCTGGGCAAAGGGGGACATCCCTACCTCTCTCGGGTGTTAGCCTCTGCTTCTAGAAGGTCTGGGCTAACGCTTCCTGCCCAGGACTTAGGTACCTCTATACAGCTAGGGGTAGCACAGGCCTGTAGTTCTAATTTCTTGGGAAACTGAGGCAGGAGGATCACTTGAATCTAGAACCAACCTGGGCAACAAAGCAAGACTCCACCTCAAAAAATTAGAAAAAACATTAAAGAAGATATAATTTATGTAAGGTGCTTAATCAGGAATAGTGGCACATGCCTGTTGTCCCATCACTCGAGAGATGGAGGCAAGAGGATCAAGAGTTCAAGGTCATCCTGGGCTAACATAGTAAGTTGAAGTCCAGCCTGGGCTACATGAGACCTTGTCATTTTTGAAAAAGTACTTGGACTATATAAAGTGCTGCTCAAAATACTATTCTTTACCCTTCATTATATTGTAGCATGCTGCATTATATTATTTCTTGTGCATGTGTATGTGCATGCAGATGCCAGATGACAAGCTTGGGTGTCATCTCCAATCGCTCTTCACCTTCTTTGAGACAGGGTCTCTCGCCGAACCTGAAGGTCGCTGATTCAGCTAGCCTGACTGACCAGTGAGCCCCAGGAATCCTCCTATCTCCCTCTCCCCAGCAATGGAATTACAGGTACACATCCCCACACCGGGCTTTTCAATGTGGGCTCTGGGGAGTCAAACTCAGGCCCTCAAGCTTGCATGGAAAGCTCTTAACTGCCATTTCACCAGCCTGTCTGCTCCCCTTTGCATCCTTCCACAATCCCACCAGCTTCATCCCCCCAGCAGACTTGGTAGCATCTTTTCTACATGTGTTCAATGAGGTGCCTGGCAGGGGGTCACCTCCCCTTCCTTGAGAGATGTGGATTTGGGGGAAAGTGGACATGGGGGATCCCTGTGTTAGCCCAGTCTTCCTTCATGAAGTCATGCCATATTCCCCAGGTTCCTCACAGGTGGTGTGGCCTCTCTGTGCGTCCTTTCCCCATACGTCTCCCCAATGAACGAGACACATCCAGGTACAAAGATTTGTCATTTATTTCAAAGACCTGGGGTTACAGGCAAGCTGTGCTCTTCAGCCTAGTATGTGGTGGCCTTGGTTGTAAAGGAGCCTCAGGGAGAGGGAGAGAGAGAGAGAGAGAGAGAGAGAGAGAGAGAGAGAGAGAGAGAGAGACTGTAGTTGTGAAAGAGATTGTTGCATTCTGTAGGGGAACCATAGCGGCAACCTCTGTGCCTTCCTTCCTTCCTTCCCTCCCATCTCTCTAGCCTCCCACCCTCCCTCCCTCCCTCCCTTCCTCTTCTTTCTTTCCTTATTTTCCTTTCCTTTCCCTCCTTCCTTTCTCCCCATCACCAACCATTTCCCAGGTATCTGTCCTGAGCCACACACTGGGCTGAGCTCTGAGGTCCCAGCTAATTGTCCTCCGAGGACATCTGTGCTGAGTTGTGGCCCGGCCATCTCAATGACTGGAACCTCGCATAGTGGGACTCCGCCCCACAGTAATGGCCAACGCAGCAGATCCGTGGGAGAGGTAAATATGTGTCATGTGGAACCAGTCCCCCAACACGTGGTTCTGGTGGCAGACATCTCCTGACACCCATGACCATGAAGAGGAGAGCGCTTCCCTGTCTCCAGCCCAAAGCCCATTGTTGTTTACATCAGAAACAAAGAATCCATTCTTTATTCTTTCTCCCTGAATATCAGGCAAATCTACTAAATGCACACACTTGGGGGAGGGCTCCAGACCCCAAGTCTCCAGGTCATTGATTTTTAACATTGTCCAGGGCAAGATAGGCAGTCTATATAGATCCACATGTGGAGTTTGGGGCACCCTGGGGGGTATTCTCCCAATATGTCTGCTTGCTAGATTTTCTATCCCCCAGGATCCTCTGAGGTCTCTCCTGGTGAGACCCTTTCACCGACTCTGCATCCTTCAGACCATGAATGCCCCAAAATAGGACCGGGTACCATCACGGGGTCTGACCAGGCGCTCCCCAGGCACTCGGACCACCACCTCCTCCCCGGCTTCGAGGTGTACCACACCACCCAAGAAACTGCTGTCCCACCATACTCGGGAGCTGTTGGCCCTTCCACAGGGTGACCGTCGGCTGACCAGCAGTTCCAGCTCCTTGGGGTAGTGGGTCGTGCGCTTGTACAGCCCATGGGTGATGGGAAGACCACTGGCTAGTCCCTGGGGGCAGCCCACGCCACTCAGCTGCACCTTCGAGTACACATAATAGTAGCCAGCCTCTGTGGTCACCAGGGCTCCATCATGGTACCTGAGGCCCCTCAAGAAGGCCAGGCCCAGTCGTGTCTCCCATAGCAGGGGTCCTCCCCTACCTATCAAGCTGGCATTGGCCCCTGAGATGGGAAGGAGAGAGGGGGAGAGAGAGAGAGAGCTGGTTAGTACACACCCCATTTTTGCTGTGTGACCTTTTATTGGTTACTGTCCCTCTCTGTGCTTTTCCCACAAGCTTAAGCTGTATGGGTCAACTCTCACAGTTCCTGCTTTGCTGGCGGTGGAAACTGAGACACATAGAAATCAAAATAATTTGGTTATTATGTATCTTAACTCATTTCACACACACCCTTCTGCAGGGGGAGAAACGGGGGCATGAAGGGACAAAGTCACTTGAATACCAAAGAGGAAACTGAGGCCTGGAGCAATTAAATTACCCAACAAAACTCAAAATGGGACTGTGGCTGGGGTTCAGTGGGTAGAGCGTCAGTCTAGCGTGCACAAAGCCTGGGTTGCATCCCCAGCACCACATCAACCAGGCATGGTGCACACCTATTATCCCAGCACAGGAGGCAGAGACAGGTGGATCTCTATGAGATTGAGGCCAGCCTGGTCTACATAGTGAGTTCCAGGCCAGCTGGGGCTACAGGGAGACTGTCTCCAAAAAAATTGAATGCATAAACTAACTCTCTAGCTTGTGAGGACCTTGGTCTCCCTAAGCACCCCAGTCCCTCCTTGAGCAAAGCCAGGGTCCCCTCACCTGTAAGATGAGCTGCTGGGTTGGCCTGGTGGGATCTTGGCTCTGGTGAAAAGAGAGTGAGAGCTTAGAGGCAGAGCAGTGAAGGGTCACCATGGCCACCTGTAGGTATCAGGCTCCACCTCTTCCGGAGTGACCCAGACTTCTGCTTCTTGGGCCCTGGGAGGTGGGGGGAGGAGCGGGGAGGGGCAGCTGCAGGGCATGAGCTGACTGTGTGAAAACATTGTGTAAGGCACCCCGAGTGTGGGGACAGCATGGGGACCATTCCCTCTGCTTCTTAGGGAAGGAAAACCGAGCTCACCTTGCATTAGCTTTTCTCTGGAACCTGTGTCCTTGTCCTGAAATCCAGATGGGGTGCATGGTGAGGACGGGTCACACCCCAGTGTCACACACACAGACACATGGTGATGAGATAGTCTGACCATGGCCACAGATACCACCCACGGACACGTACACAGGGCATGTACACACACACACACACACACCACCCAGCAGCCTCTGGACTAACATTTCTCTCTATGGAATTACAAATACTGGCCTCTTATCATCTCTTTTGTTTCCTTGTTTGCTTTCTTTGTTTGTTTGTTTTTGTTTCTTTAAGACAAGATCTCCCTGTAACCCCAGCTGGCCTGGAACTCGCTATATAGACCAAGCTGGCCTCCATCTCACAGAAATCTGCCTGCCTCTGCCCAGCTCCTCCTCACCCCTGGAGTGCTGGGATTAAAGGCATGTGCCACTGACGCCTGGCTCTACTTTGTGTTTTTGAGATAGGGTCTCATGTAGCCCAGGCTGGCCTGGAAGTTACTAAGTAGCCATGACTACTTGTGTTCTTGAACCCCTGATCCTCCTGTATGCTCCACCATGCTCAGCTAGGATCAAGAATACAAGTTGAATGTCTGAAATGCTTGAAACCAGAAGTGTTTCAGATTTGTTTTTGAGATCTTGGAATTTTCCCACAACTTAAAACACTCAGGAGAGGCAGGTGAAGGTCTGTGAAATTGAGGCCAGCCTGGTCTACATAGCAAGTTCCAGGCCAGTTGAGGCTACAGGGAGATGCTGTATCAGAAAACAAAACAAAACAAAACTGTTCGATGGTCGGTTCAGTGGGTGAGGGCGCTTGCTGCCAGTTGAAAACCTGAGTTCAATCTCTGGAGCCCATGTACAGGTGAAGGGAGAGAGCACACTCCCTCAAGGTCCTCTGACTGTCACGTGTCCACCCACCCATACCCACACACAGTAAATACATAAATGTAATAAAAAATGTAAAAGGAGAACAGAGGGAAGGACCGTGTGAGCGAGTTGTCTGGGAGATTGCCCAAGTGTGACACACAGACACATCCAGGGACAGGAGAAAACAGAGACACCACCACCTGAGACTGAGCCAGGATTGCCAAGAAGCAGCCACAGGACAAGGGTCCAGTTGGTAACAGTCAGTGCTGCCGGGGAAGCTTCAGAGTGACACCCATGCATGAACACACACACACACACACACACACACACACACACACACACTCACACGCACTCACACGCACCAGGGTGCTCTTGTCAGCATGCCCATTTTACAGACGAAGAAGGCTGTGGATCAGAGTGATAGACTGAAGATCAGAGTGATGGATCAGTGCCTCATTTTACAGATGAAGAGACTGAGTGTCAGAGTGATGGGGGTGTCTAGTTTCACTCTGCCCCACCTCCCATAAAGGGAGATACAGTGACCCTGGAGCGCTCCCCCTGCCCCTCCTGGCCCCACTCACCGGCAGGCGAGCCACCACCTCCCCAAGCTGCCGATGAAGTCTCAGTAGGAACCAGCCCTGGGTGGCCAGCCCCGAACTCGTGAGCAATAGCAAGACAGCCAGGCTGCCTTGGGCCATGCTGCAGTGTCGTCTCCGGGGGCTCTGTCCCAGTCTCCTGAATGGAATATCGGTCTGTCTGTCCACCACGAACACTGAGGGCTGCGCCACGGTCTCCATGCCGAGAAACTGTGGCTCGGAGATACTCGGGGCTAGGACTGGCAAGCCCGAGTTCCTCGGGTTCAGAGGAAACCGCAATTGCCCAATGCTCTGGGCTTTGCAAACTGCAAGAGGCACCTGCTGCAGAAAACTGTAGCCCCAGGGGCTGGTTTTAGAGCTGGGGTTCAGCGCCTCTCCTTTCCCCACACATCCTCCTCTTCTTCCTGGGCCCCCAGAGGGCCCGTTCCCTCCTCACTCTCACTCACTCAGTAGCTCACACTTTCCAGAAAATGTGACTCAGGTGGAGACTGGACAGGGGCAGCCCCACCTTGTGGGCCCGAAGGCTCTATTCCCCTCCGTGGTGCTCCCGTGGGTGGCATGCATAGTTTTAGCGCGTGCAAACTCACACATCCATGCAAGCACAGGTCTGTGTGCACACTCTAACACGTGAATGCATGGGTGCATGTATGTGCATGGGTGCATGTGCATATCTGTAGGCTTTGCAATGTCTGCACATATGTGCAAATGTGTGCATGTGAACATGCATGCATGGTCTGATATGTGTGTGATCGTGTGTGGGTGAATGGACATGTGCAATGTCTTATGAGTCATCACATGTATCATATTCTGGACATGTATGCAGGTGTGTGCAGGTGTGCCCATGAATGCATCCCTTTAGGGGAAAGGAGCTGGGAGATGTCTAGACAGGAGGAGGTTTCTGCACTGTCTTTTCCAAAGTTCCCCCAGATTCCAAGGGAGGGGAGGTGCAGTTAGAAGAGACACTAGGGCCGCCCCCAAATAGTGGTTTTGGGCCTCACACAGAACTGGCAGTGCAGCGACCACAGACCCTAGGGATCCACCCCACTTCTGACTCTCAGCTTCCCCACCCAGAGTTCCGTGGAAGTACTGCTGGGGCCCGCCCACCTGCTCCGTGGGACCACCTACCTGCCACAGGGACACTCCCACCTGTCATAGACACGCCCACACACGGTAGGGACGGACCCATCTGCTGCAAGGACACACTCCTTGGCCAAAAAGACACACCCACCTAGCACATGGACACGCCCATCTGCAGGGACTCACCTTTCTGCCCTAAAGACACTCTCACCTGCTGCAGAGACACACCACTCACAAGACACGCACACGGATCACAGGGCCCCGCCCACCTGCCGCAGGGCCATGTCCACCTATGAGGGGCCACCCCCTCTAGCTTCGGTCTGGAGGACCCTACCACATAGGATTCCCCAGGAAGCTCTCTTTGGTATCTTGTGGCCCCTCATGAAGGTGAGGTGAGGCTGTTGCTAGGAAGTCAAGAAGAGATTCAGAGCAGGCAGGGAGCGCCTTGATGGGGATGTGCACAGCACACCTGCAAAAGAGGACCTAGCAGCCAGGTGCAAGGGTGGGTCTGTGATCCCAGCACTCAGGAGACAGGAGGATCACAAGTTCCAGGCCAGCCTGGACTACATATTAATAGCAAAGACCTCTCTAAAAATAAACTGAAGTGGACTGGAGCTGGGGCTCAATGGGCAGAGCTCACCTGACAGAGAGACCCTGGCACCATTCCCAGCACCACAGAAACCAGGCATGGTAGTGCACACCGTCATTCCAGCACCTGGAAGTCAGGGGCAGGAGGATCAGGAGTTCAGGGTCATCCTTGGCTACATAGGGAGTTCAAGGCCAACCTGGGCTACTGAAGACTCTACAGTTCTGCTTGGTTTTCTTTCTGCCCCCATTCCCTTCCCTTTCCTTTCCCCCTTTCTTTCCCATCCATCTGTGTATTTGGTTTTTTATTATTTAATTTCTAATTTATTTATATTTTATGTGTATCTGTGTTTTGTCTGCATGTACCGAAGTGCATCATGCATGAAATGCCCATGGAAGCCAAAAGAGGGCATCAGATGCCCTGGAACTGGAGTTACAGACAGTTATTAGCTGCCATATGGGTGCTGGGAGCTAAACCCTCGTCCTCTGCAAGAGCAGCAGTGCCCTTAACTGCTGAGCATCTCTCCGGCCCCTGTCTATTTGCTTTTGAGACACAGTCTCACTCCGCAGCTCAGACTGGTCTGGAAATCATAACGATCCTTCTGCCTCTGCCTCTCAAGTGCTGGGCTGGTGAGGATGAGCCACTGTACTTACCTTGTTTGATTTTCATAAAACAGATCTAGAAACAATGTCAAAATGAAACCTCTGTAGCTTACGGGGTAGCTGCAGAGCCAGATATGGCGGTGACACCTTGTCATCCCAGCACTTGAGGGGCTGAGGCAAAGAATCAGGGATATGAGACGATCCTGGGCTATATAAGGAGACTCTATCTCAAAATTAATCCCAGCCTTTGGGAGGCAGAGGCAGGTGGATCTCTGTGAGATTGAGGCCAGTCCAGTCTACATAGTGAGTTCCAGGTCAGCTGGGGCTATAGGGAGACCCTGTCTCAAAAAGACCAATTATAATTTTTAGTATTAATTAGTATTAGTATTAGTATTAGTATTATTCAGGGCTGAAGAGATGACTCTGTGGGCATTGCACATACAGGTGCCCTTACATACATGCAGACAAAACACTCATACACATAAATAAATTTTTAAAATTTTTTTCTCTTTTTGAGACAGGCCCAGCTGGCCTGGAACTCACTATGTAGAGCAGGCTGGCCTTGAACTCACAGAGATCCACCTGCCTCTGCCTCCTGAGTGCTGGGACTACAGGCATGCACCACCACGCCTGGTAAATTTTAAAATATTTTTTAAAATTAATTCATTAGTTAATTAAAATTAAGTACCTGTGAGGCTCTTGGCTCTCATCTCAGCTCTGAGCATCACATTCTGTGATGGGCATGCTGTGCAATGTAGGGTATGAAGCAACCTCTCTGGTTTCCACCCACTCTCTACCAACCACAAACACCCACAAGTGTCGCCCAGGAGGAACCAGATCACCGCAGCTGAGAAGCACTGGGTGACATGATAAAGCTGTAAGTTTCCTTATCCATTTTGAAGAGTCCCCCACTTAATTTAAATTTAGCCTCCGGCAACTTCCTAATGACATTTATGTCCTGTCTTTGATCTTCCATGAGTAACAGAAAGAGCTCAGAGCACATCAACCTCCCCTTCTATAATGATGTCATAGAGCTCAGAGCACATCAACCTCCCCTTCTATAATGATTCCATTAATTACCCAGCATGTCAAGCTTTGAAAATATTCCCGAGGCATTTTTAAAGGTGTGTATTTTTTTTTTTTTTTTTTGGTTTTTTTGAGACAGGGTCTCCCTGTAGCCCCAGCTGTCCTGGAACTCACTATGTAGACCAGGCTGGCCTTGAACTCACAGAGATCCTCCTGCCTCTACCTCCCAAGTGCTGGGATTAAAGGCGTGAGCCACGACGCCTGGCTATTTTTTTTTTAATTTTAAAATAGTTTTATTATTCCTAAGAGAGGCCATTTTTAACACATTTTTCCAGAAATAACTTGAAGCAGGTTACATAAAAATGTATATACAGGGCTAGAGAGATGGCTCAGCGGTTAAGAACACTGACTGTTCTTGCAGAAGACCCAGGTTTGAATCCTAGCACCCACATTGCAGCTAACAACTGTCCATAATTCCAGTTCCAGGGGATCTGACAGCCTCTTCTGTCTTCCGTGGGCACTGCACAACACAGGTGCACTTACCTACATGCAGGCAACACATGCATACACATAAAATAAAAATAATAAATAAAATATTAAAA